GATGTGCAAAGGCCGCGCTGCTGCATACGCTTGCCCTATTTTGGGATTTGGGCGGGTGGGGTTGCACATTTACAGTCATTCAAATCCCTTCAAAGTGGCAAAGTCTTAGTTGTTTTGGGGTGGCCGAGGTGGCCGACTTTGATATCAGAGAGATGTGTTGTTTTCCACGACGGAGTCGGCGTGCGTGCGTGCGTGTGCGTGCGTGCGTGCGTGGGTGGGTGGGTGGTTGGGTGGCTGGGTGTGTGTGTGTGTGTTTTTTATTCGGCCAGGCTGCGAGAGGTTCCAGGCGCCTCGGAAGTTGCATGCAGCTTTGCTGGAAGTCTGGGGCGGGTTTGAAGTCCGGAATTGGGGCGGTGCCAGCCTGGAACTATACCTGGCGACTTTACCACAGCGGCGCAATGTTGATTGCTTCGGTGAACTTTCGGACTCAGCCCGAATGCTTTCAAACCGAGCGAGCAACGGGAGCTATCCTCGGCAGTGCTGTCAGGAGACGCCACTGGTGGATATTCGGAGACGGAGCCGGGGTCGTGAGGCGGGGCTGGGGACTCTAGTGCCAGGCAGGAGGCACTTGGGTCAGGTCGAAATGATGCGCCAGCTGACTACCTGTTCTCATTTGTCATCCTCCAAGCGGGGCTGAAGTGTTTTTTTCTCCTCTCCGGGGCTAGGGGTGGTTGTCAACCCCGAAGCGTCAGGAGTACTCAGTACATTTGCCAGGTGCGCAGGAGCTCCAGCTGCACAGCGCGCCCGCGGCCCACACTTTCAGCATGGGTTGGCTGGCCTCACACTTATCATGCCCAGTGGCGAATGAACTCCTGAGGGTTTTTGTATTACACCCTGGGAGTACACCCTTGGGACATGACCCAGAATAAATGGGGTCAATACCCAGCAATTGTATTCCTAGGGTGTTAAAAAAAAAAAAAAAAAACCTCACATGAACAAAGCATCATCTACAGATGCCCTGATTCGGTTTGGAGCGTTCAAGTCCCCCAAGCTGGACTCACGGAGGGCGACGCTTACGCCCACGCAGCCTAGGATCGGGAGTTGGGTGTTTTGACTTTGGAGGTTCCTTGTAGCGGTGGAAGGGGCAGCTCGGAAAAATTGGTGCCCAGCCAGGATCAGCAACACTTCAAGCCATCACTACCCACTGGGAGCCAACAAAAGATGTTCGTTTCAGTGCCTCCTTTGACTTCCATGTGCTCTGACGGGAGCCACCTCGCGAATTGGGAACTCGCGGCCCAAGGGCGAAGCGCCAGAGCTCGGCCAGAGGCGGCGTGAGAGAGGGTGATCAGGGGCAGGGGGTTCCGGAAGACAGGGTCATGGAAGTCATATTGGCATCAAAAGCGGCCAAACTTAGGTTTTGCATGAAAGCTTCACTCCCTGAAATCCTCCTCTTGAACAGTTTGGAGCAGACCCACCAAGTGCCATGGCAGGTGATAGTTTCCTTCGCGTTATTGGTGGGTCCTGTGTCACCTTGCTGTGGTCACGCCCTGGGCCGCCAGAGCAACCCGACACAAGAGGTGCTGGACTTTATACTCAGCAAGTTCGGACTTGCGTTGGCAAATTCATTCAGGAAGTGAGATGCTGACCAAGGCTGGCATAGGATCTCTTCTGCATGACTTCGTCCCTGTTTGTTGCTATGTGAACGGCAACCTTGGATGAGTGGTTGAGCTAAGTGAATGCATGAAATCTGAGGTCAATTTGAGAGGCAAATGGACAGTCCCCACGTCTCCCACGCAACAAACACAAGGCGACTCGCACAATGTCCCACTTCTTTCAGGCACTCGGCTTTTCGTTTGGTTTCCTATTCGGTTGGAACCCGTGAAGGAATGGGGAGTGAATCAACGGTTTGTCCTCATGTCCACACCCTTGTTCTTTTCTATTAGTAATCAACCTGACGTAAGATGTGGACGTGATGACCATCCTTATTCTTATGTCGTGTTTTTTGAAAAGGCTTGGCCATCTCTTCACTCAACCACCTCACCCTGTGAAGCACTGGTCTCCTCCATTTTCAGGAAAGCAGCAGAGGGAGTACACTTCAAAAAGGGAAAGATCGAATCGCCCTCTCCCAACTGCTTAGACCTCTCGTGTTAGGCACATTGCTGCTGGAAAACGCCCAGCTTCAATGAATGGTTTTTGAGCGGAAGGCCAAATGGCTGTGGGTCAAAACCAATGGGATCCGTATGAATTCACCACCCATTTCAACCTATTTTAGTGGTTGGATTGGGATGTTCACTGGGGGTACGATTTTGATTTTGACATTTCGACCCATGGCCATGTAAGATGTGGACATGATCACCATCCTTATCTTTATGTCGTGCTTTTTGGAAAGGCTTGGCCATCTCTTCACTCAACCACCTCACGCAGAAACCAAAAAGGCGCACACTTTCGACCAGCTCACGTGACCAGTGCAGCTGACCGTCCCGGCAGCTTCGCCAGGAGCCCGCGGAGAGCACCTGCTCCGCCGGCACCTGCTCCTCTGCTGGGGCCGCTGGATGTTCGGATGTTCGGGCAGCTGATGTTGACTTTCAATCCATCACCAAACCATCAGCTGGTGTTTGATGTTGGTGTTGGACATCTTCGGACATCAGCTGGAGGCTGGCACCACATGGAGGCTTGCCAGCTGATGTCGGAAGCCTCCAACACCTAACCATGTCTCACTCTCTTTGCTTGTTTGTGTGGAAAATCACGGCTTAGGTCTTAGGTGAACCTGTGTGACATCCTACTGGCCCATCAAGTTGGGATTTGTTGAAACAACGACCTGGCATTGCCATGGGTGTGCCGAAACACGGGACGGGACGCTTCAAATGGTCGGCTTCCGAGGTGCCCCTTGCAACTGGGGCCCGCTCATTCTATGCGGTTTGGCAAGTTCTATCATCCAGATATTTCACCGCAATCACAACAGGAGAAGCAGCTTACCTGCCCCAGCGGTTCGTTGAGGCCCAGTCTACGGTGGTTTCAGGAGGACCACGTGTAGCTTGAGTTCAGCTCTTTCAAAGATTTAGAAAGCCCACGGCCTGAACATTGTTCACAGGCAACGGGGGCCCGGCCAAAAAGATGCTAGCCTCTCTCAGCTGTCATGCAAGTGGGGGGTGGGTGGGGTGGGTGGGGAGGGCATGTCGGGTTATTTGCTCAGACTGGGTGCGGAGCGCAGTCCTCTCAGCGCTGACGCCGCCAAGGCCAGGTGCTCCTCGCTGCAGGCTTGGCCCTGCCATCTGGTTAGTTGCCTCAGTCAGTTCCGTTTCAAAGCCCGGCATGGGCCACTGACGTACTGAGCCATCCATTTGAGAAGCCGGTGAATCCCGTTTCAAATCTTGACACCGAATCAATTCAGATGAACCCCCTTCATTTCCAGATCCTCTGAAAAGAAGTTGCTGCCCTTTTTGCCCAACCAACGGAGCCAATGGGGCCGAGGGGCTGAGTCCGGGAGGCCTGCGTGCTTTGCACCTTTCGCTGCAGCGAGAGCACAGATGGCCAGCCTTGTGCCGCTTGCACGTGTGGCCTGCGTGCACGAGGCTTAGTGCATGTGCAAAGGTGAGTTTGGGTCAGGTCAATTGCCAAGAGGGGGGAGGGGGGGGGCGTTCATCCCTTTCGATACAGGCACGTGTATACGCAGACGTTTACAAGGGGGAGAATGCGAGAGCCCAAACCGGGACTCTCTGACTGGTTCCGGGCTCGCTTTCTGTCAGAATCCTTTTCGGCTTTTGGGGGGGGGGGGTGATGCTTGTCATCATCCCGGTTGGGGGAAACACATTGCATGCACCCCTTGGAGCAGCAGCTACTGCGAATGGACGAAATCCTGCACCACTTTGAAACCGTAGGAAACCATTGTTGGTTGGTATCATGATTCCCGGGCTTCTCGGGTGGGCAGGATTTCGTTCATCCACCGTATCTCTCAGGTCTTTCAGCAGAATACCTTCCTGACGGTTGCTGAAGAGGAGGATCATGACTTCCCAAAGGTCCCGTCGCAGCCTCACGGCGCAGGTGTCTCTTGTCAGGTTCTGCGCAGTACTGCCAAACGTCGATTGGCCAATCACCATGTCAATGAGGTTGCGCAGAACACAGAGCATGTGAGAGAGCCTCGGCTTGTTAGATCGTTCCCTAGCTCGTGTTGTGCCGCGGCACTCTGTGGAATGCTCCTGCTCTTGCCCTCTGGTTTACAGCGGTTGCGGCCACTGTGACACTGAACACGGAGTTTGCATTCCCATGCTTTTCGGCACAATGTCTTTAATGTACAGGGAGGCGTTCGTGGTGTCTGCAGCAAGGGAGGTACGTGGCACTTGGGAAGACTTTGGGCTGCGACACCCTGATCGCCCGGAAGCTTTTGGGAGTGTCGCTGATGTGCAGGGAGGCGGGCAATGGCCTGCACAGTGACTTGTTTGCGACGCGCCGGCTGGCAGGATTTGTAAGGCTAGGCCATGGGTGCGCGTTAGTCGGCCTCACTGGCCGCACTGGGGCGTACCCAAAGGGCTTTTAAGCCAACGTGGTAGGCTCGCGTTGCGACGCCCGTCTGGCCATGAATTGGCAGCCAAACCGGCTGCTGAATTTTGTATGGTACCTCCTGATGGCCTACGAAATGTAGACATCGCTGTAGTGCCAGGCCGTTCCGAGAGGGAAGACCAGTTGCGTACGAGAGAGGCTTCGCCTTCCTTATGGCACATGTTTTTTCTCCAACACAAAGCTACCACAACTCATGAAACCAATGCAGCATAGAATGTTTGTTCGATCCCTGGCCATATTTCTGAGGCCAAGTTGCTGGCATGCAGGCGACACGGAAGGGCCCAGCCAATCTTTCGCCGACGAAAAGCCGAGGCGTTTCGCCGCCCGTTTTGCGCGGAGGGAGGGCTGAGCTCCGGAGAGACATGAGCCCTTCAGAAAGCTTACTGCCAAGAACCTCGTTGAAACTTTCCTTGAGAAACGGGGGGGGGGCTGCGGCTCTGGCGTTTCCTTCTCCGAACGGGGGATGCCCGCCGCCGTTTCGAAGCCAAACCGGCCGGGGCGACATGGACGGCGACACCAGGAGATTGTCGTGGGCCGGAAGCTCGGGGCCGCCTTGGCTTGGCAACGGGGGGGGGGAAGGCGCCGGAAGTGTCTTGGATCGGTGCGCACAAGCTGCACGACTCGAACTATTCAGCTTCTCCTAGCTTTGGCGTGTCATTTCCATTGCTGCCAGCGGGACAAGCAGCAGTCGTGATGTCAAAAGCAACTGATTGCTTCCCTTGTGCGGAACAACCTGGCGTCCATTTTCCCTTCAAACCATCCCCTTTTTCCACATAGCAGTTTTTGGGGCTGGCTTCCCAGGTTGAACCATGCGGAAAAAATCCACATATTTAGATCGGAAACCAGGACACCTTTAAACCTTTTGAACTCCCCCAAATGCCACAGAGTTCCCACTTTTCTACATGCATCCTGCATCCTCCCTACAAACATGCCAGTAACCTGCCAGTAGTACCTGCGGCAAGGTGCCAATGCCTGTTTTTGAACTCAAAGGGATGTGTGTTAGGTGCCATGAATAGCAGGGAGCCACCCAGGGGTTTGTTGCCATCCCCAAGGTGGAGTCCACCGCAGCGTCTGGCTGCGACCTCCTGCGCTCGGCGCCGGGGGCGGGGGGGCGCGGTGATGAAGCCGGATGGGCTGAATGACATTGGCGGGTGAGTGGATGGGTGAATGGAGGGTGGGTGGATAGCTGGGAGGGATTCCTATGCTTTTGCTTTGGAAGAAAGGGACATTGAGGTGCCCGGCCGGTGGTGGTGGAAATAGAGGTGGACATGCTCTCCATTGGACTTGTTGAACTGCTTGCGGATGACGAGTTCGAATGTGTCTGAAATGAAAGGTTGTGGGGAGCACCCTTCAATTTGTACGGATCACCTGTGATTTATGTGTGATTAGGGTTGTGGTGATTTGTGGTGAGTTTTGCCTTAGGAATCCACCATGAGGGCGGAGGGAGACGAGTGAACCCTGCGCCTGTGCGAGGTGCTGTCGGACATGGGGGACATGGTTTGCTGTCGCTGGCCCAAGTGATGCTATGAGGCACCCACGGCAAAGAAGCCTTCTTCGATCTTTTTCGCCTTTGGAACCTCTTCCAGAGTTGGCCCATACCATTCAACTAAAAGGTTGGAGGCCAGTCCACACACGTGCCACCGCCCCCTCTGATCATATTGGCCCATGGTTCGGGAAATCCGAATTCGGCGAGTTCGCAGCCCCAGGTCTGCCCGCCCTTGGCGTGGCCCGCGTGCTCCCGGACGCCGTCGTCACTGGCGTATCCAGAGGTGCCTCTTGGAAAAACATCTCGGAAGCGGGCGCCCCCCCCAAAGAGCTGTGGGAAACGTGGTTTGGTCATGTCACTGGCAGGGGGGAGGGCCCATTGGTCCATACGAGTTTGGCACGCCCATGCCGCCACTTCGCCATGGGGCAACGGGCAAGGTGCGGTTGCAACTGAGTTCGCCCCAGAGTTTTGTCAGTGCTCACGCCCAAATGGGCAGGATCGGTTGGCCTGACACGCCCGCCCTCGAGATGCGAGATGCTCCCAGTTGCGCGCGGGCCCCCTGCAAAATGTCGCCTGTCGCTCATAGGCCTCGGTGATAGAAGAGGTGCTTGCTAACTTAGGGGAGGGCCTTGGGCTGCATGATTTCTCCAAAGCCAAGCTGTTAAGAGGAGTCTACGTGCTTCGAAGTTCGCGAAAAGTTCAAGTTATCCCCAGAGGGGAGGACGTGCCGGGAAGAAGCAACATTCACCGACGTGTGGCTTTTCCCCCATTTGATTTTTGCAGGGGCTGGGGCGGGGACCTCAGGTCGGGGAGGTACAGCTGGAGACGGACCAAGTGACCAGCTCAGCATGCCGAAAGGGAGAAGTGAGATCTGAGCCCCATGTGGTTCTCTGTCGGCTTTCCCGTTTGGAGACTGACCATTTGCGGCTCAAAATGGGAATGTTTTTGTTGTCATCTAGAGAGAGTCTTGAACAATGTTGACATGCCAATGTGGTGCTCACAGCTGCCCAGCCAGTGGTTCCTTTGTCTTGCGCTGGCATTTCACCGTGCCATTCAGGTTTACGGCCCCCCATTTCACCGCAAGTATCCGCAAGTTGTTTAGCGCAGGGGTAGCGGTCAGGGCTCAGCTTTGGGATCCTGGCCGATACACCTGCGCTAAAGCAACAGCGGGAGATGGCCTGGTGTGAAGGAGAAGCCCTTGTAATCACATAGGGCAGCAATCTATGACGGCGAATGCATTGCGCCAACGAGAAACTCCCGGCGCACCCAGTGGCAATTTGAGGAAGATGAGGAAGCCTTTTTCAGCACGGACACCGATATCGAGTTGCTCCAGCATGCAGCAGAAAGGAGGCGCCTCATGATTCTTCCCAGTCTGAAGCTGCAAGAGGATTGCAGCGTGCCGCTTTCGCGTCGCTGATCGCGTTCTGAGGCCTTTCCCTGAGTGCGAGCGCTCGCCTGGCCCTGATATTTTTTGGGTGGGGGGGAGGGGGGCTGGAGTGGAAACCGCCGACTACATCCGGGAGAGCAAGTCCAGTTGTAGCAGCTTATAGGACACCGCACTGGACTGTTGATTTCTTTTGATGTTTTCTTTTGTGGGTATCCTTGCCCAGTGACGGTGCGGGTGCGGGGGTCAGCTTCAGCCGGAAGTTGGGGGTGTCTCATCCAGGGTGTTTTACCTGATGCCTGCAGGCACCCAGCGTAAAGTTTTCACTTGACGCGCTGTTCAAGCTTGTTCGTAAACAAAAAAGAAGAACAGTCAGCCTGCAGCAACAAGGCAACCAGGGATTTCCAGCACCTTTCCACCTGTCTTAGCCGACTTTCCGCGACTCTTCCCCTGCGCTGGCCCAGTGGTTCGTTTTGGACTTGTGGAGAAGCTGTTTGGATGGCAAAGGGACGCCCTGTTGCAGATCTGCAGGTTGGAGGTGATCCAGGACACGCCGCTGCGGGTGCTTCTGAGCCCAGGCGACAGACTTTGGGCCTTGGGGCCTGTGAGCTGGCACGAGGGGTTTGATTTTCACCCCCAGCATTGCCGGGGCGGGGGTTGCCCGTGGAAGTTTAAGAGCACGGCAAGTTCTTTTCAAATTAAATCGGGAAGGCATGGGACCCCGCTCGCTTTTCTGGGTCGGGCGCTCTGCTTTTCCCAACCCGCTTCTGAGACAAACCCGTTTCAGGACGACCCCTCCGCGCGCGAGCGCCAGCGCAGGCCCAGAGGTGGAGGCGGATGCTTCGGAGGACGCTGCTGGGGTCTAAGGGGCTTAGCCCCCATAGGTTTTGCACACAAACGCCCACGCTACACTATGCACATTGAAACAAGATAAATTTGCAATACACACATATATATACATATATATATATATGCATCTAGAGATGTGCAGAAACGTACATGAACGATGCATGCACACAAGCAAGACAGCAAGAATTAACAGTAGCAATAGGCAGGGAGGGACAATATCTGTGTTTGGCCATGCTCGTGTTTGTGTTTGTGTGTGTGTGTGTTTGTTTGTTTGTTTGTTTGTTTGTTTGTTTGTGCGTGTTTGTGTGTGTTTGTTTGTTTGTTTGTTTGTTTGTTTGTTTGTTTGTTTGTTTGTTTGCTTGCTTGTTTGTGTGTGTGTGTGTGTGTGTGTGTGTGTTTGCTTGCTTGCTTGCTTGCTTGCTTGTTTGTTTGTTTGTGTGTTTGTTTGTTTGTTTGTTTGTTTGTTTGTTTTTGTTTGTTTGTTTGTTTGTTTGTTTGTTTGTTTGTTTGTTTGTGCGTGTTTGTGTGTGTGTGTGTGTTTGTTTGTTTGTTTGTTTGTTTGGTTTTTGTTTGTTTGTTTGTTTGTTTGTTTGTTTGTTTGTTTGTTTGTGTGTGTGTGTGGGTGGGTGTTTGTTTGGGTCCGGGTATGCGTGTCTACAAGCATAGTCATCACGTCCCCAAGCGGTTCCCGTGATGGGCTGTTGGGAAGGATCTCTTTTTGAAGTGTCCAGCCCGAGTCGGCGAGCTGAGGACTTCGTGCTCGTGGACGCAGGCGAGGCCGTGGAGGATGGCACGCAAGGCCAGGGTGGAGGGCGAGGGCGGCTTTTTTTTGGGCCCTTTGGTTGGGTTTAAGGGGAACCCAACTGAACCAACAATATTGTTTTGCCGTTGAAATTTTAGGGCAGCTTCACGTGATGACTGGGCACCATGGGCCTTGTACTGTAGTGGCCCTTTTTCACGAAACTAAACACATCACCACCCAAAAGACACCGCCCCCGAAAGACACCGGTTGATTTCAGTCTTCATGTAAATCAGGCTGTCGCTCAGTCCTTCAAGTTTTTTTTGGAGACGCTTCGGGGCCAAGTCTCGTTTTGTTGACAACTACTTGATGAAGAGGCCTATCCCAATGACTGTGCGTGAGCCTTTGTTCTCATCAGAGTTGTTCTTTTCAGAATTCTCCTTTCGGCACTTGGCATGCCCGCCAGGAGGAAACTCCACTTTGATGCGGCCATACCTCCAAGAAGTAATACTGTGGATGGACGAAATCGTGCACCAACTAAGAAACCCTGGAATGATGATTCCCCTGTAAATACCAACGGAAAATGGTTGCCATGGTTTCAAAGTGGTGCAGGATTTCGTCCACCCACAGCAAGACAGTCTCTGCCCGCCAGCTTCCGGGCAACGGACGAAATGCGCGGCTGATCTTGTCGGCCGGTCTAGAGTTGCGAGGCTCGGACTTGACCCTTCCAGGGTGGCACCTGGCCCGGGGGCCTGCTGCCTTTTTTCTTTGAGTGTGACAACTTGGGTTGGTATTAGAGAACTCGTGGGACCACAAGAGTTTTGGGGTCCGCTGTTTTGACACCCACTGAGGGTGTCATTTTGCGGTGCTCTTTTGGGTTGTTTCCTCCCGTTTTGAGGAGATCCCTCCCCTCCCCGCTTTCGGACAAACCCAGCCACGCACCTGAGGTTTGAGCTTGGACAGGCCTGCGCTGATTGCCATTCGCGTTGCGCCCCTTTTGGGGCGGAAGGGTTGCGCAGGGTTCCTAAAAAGTCATTGTAACATCACCTTGTAGGCTCGTCTGACGTGAGTTTCCTTTGTGTGGGGGTGACGTTCAAGGGGAAATTGGAACATATGTTGGACGATGGCACTGATGGCTTAGGATTCTTATTCAGGTTCGTGCAACACACCCAGATATATCCAGTCCCTGGCCCATTTGGGATCATTCGACCGAAGCATCAGCATCAAAGCGGCAATCGAGTAGAACGCCTCTGAACCTCTGAGCCAAGCAGTAGGCCTCTGGGAGCACAATCACCAAAACATAGAAAAGCATACCACACATACATACATCATCACAAGTGCTTAAACATGAAAACACGTGAAGAGAAGCACCCGGCTTGACACTTGGCTTCAAGCCACTCGAGGACTGCCCATAGCGAGGGCGATGGCTGGCCGTGCCCTCATCGCGGATGAGGAGTCCACACTTGACCCCCCGACGATCCTCCGCTGCATCGAGGTTATCGACCAGCGAGCGGAGGGGCTGAAAGCGAAGGGCATGAGCTCCGCCTCGTTCTTCTTTGGGGTGACAAACGTCCTGATTGTCACCTGGTGTTTCGGCGTCATGCCGCAGCACTTTTGGATCGTGTACATCTTCGAGACGCTGATCTTGTTCCCCATCAGGTGGAAGAACGCGGCCGCGGCCAAGCCACTGTCGGAGGTCCTCTACTGGTTGGACTTCTGCTGGTTCTGCAACTTTTCTATGAATATCGTCCTGATCATATATGTCATAGACGCGTACTTCAACTTTCCCTGCATGAGCTTCCTGATGGCGTTGGATGCGATTCATGTGCGAAAGTTCCTCTTCTGCATGTTCTTCGGTATTCAAGGGCCCTTGCTCGGTGCGGTTGGTGCGCTGGGGAATGCCTTGGTGTTCCACGATGCAAATAACACAGTGAGCGTTTTCATCCACCTCTGCCCATCCCTACTCGCCTACACCTTGCGCTGGCACAGGGAGGAAGTGCTGGCAGCATGGCCTGGTCTCTTTGAGCTCGACTACTTCAAGGAGGTCAGCCCGTGGGTCGATGTGTACCGCAACGCAGCCATCGCCTACGTGATCTGGTGGGTGCTGTATAGCGTCTGGCTGCAGTTCTCGATGGACATGCCGAGCAAGGGATACGACACAGTGTTCCACCTCATGATGCGTGGACCCAATCCCGTCGGGCCCTTGCTGTCGTGGTCCCCAGAGGAGTCATCCCAGAGAGCGGCCAGAAACGACTTCACCCGCGGGAGCGCGGTTCTCTACATGGTCTTCCACAGCATGGCTGTGTTGCCTGCCATTCTGTTGTCCGTGCTCTGCTGGCTGAGCCAAGCCTTTCATGCTTTCTTCTGCCTCGCCATGACCTTGGCGGCAATCTACAAGGGGTCCAAGCGCTACGCCTACTTCATCTTGGAGAGCTACTTGGGAGAGATGCGGCGCGAGTTTGCGGCCTTCGTGAAGCCCGCCTCTGCTTTGCCATAAGTGGCAGGCGTCTCGGAAGGGCGGATGTGTCATCTGACAACCTTTGCAGCTTGCTTGAAGATCAGAGGGCGCCGAAGAACGGCAGCTCGCGATGGCTGTGCTGGCCCATGGCCGGCCCGGGCCCGAAGTGAAGACGCAAAAGAAGTCAAATCTGAATGTTCATGTTGGACTAGTTGGTTTGATTTTGATTTATGCATAGTCGGTTTTGACTAAACCTGATCGATTTCGCCTAGACTCCTGTCGGTGTTCATATGTTCAATTTTGGCTAGGCTGTGTCGTTTGCTCAATTCTCGCTGCATTTCAGAGCTTATCGTTTGAATAGACTTGTTTTTTTTTGTATTCAATGTTTTGTATTCAATGTTTGTTCGATTTGGTGAAACTTGATTTGATACGACTGACAGGACAGACAAGACGGACAGGACAGACAGGACAGACAGGACAGACAGGCGTTTTCTCTTCCCGTTTCCCTTTCTCTTTCACTTGGATTGTTCTTTCCTGCCTGCCTGTCTGTCTGCCTGCCTGCCTGCCTGCCTGCCTGCCTGTCTGTCTGTCTGTCTGCTGTCTGTCTGCCTGCCTGCCTGCCTGTCTGTTTGTCTGTCTGTCTGTCTGTCTGTCTGTCTGTCTGTCTGTCTGTGTGTCTGCCTGTCTGTGTCTCTCTCTCTCTCTCTCTCTCTCTGTCTCTCTCTCTCTTTCTGTCTCTCTGTCCCTCTGTTTCTTTCTCTCTCTCTCTCTCTTTCTTTCTTTCTTTCTTTCTCTCTGTCTCTCTCTCTCTTTCTCTCTCTCTCCCTCTGCTTCTTTTTCCCCACCCAACAGGAATTCCCCACCCGACAAGAAGGGGTTGTTAGATTTTATGTTGGAATCCGCGTTTGCGATGCTTCTACACCACGACGCCTCCGCCCAGTATCCCGCCAGAGCAGCTCGCCAGTGGATCCCGCCAGAGCAGCTCGCCAGTGGATCCCGCCGAGTATCCAGAGCTGCTCGCCAGTATCCCGCCAGAGCTGCTCGCCAGTGGATCCCGCCGAGTATCCCGCCAGAGCGAGTATCCCACCACACCGAGTATCCCACCAGAGCAGCCTGCCAGTGGATCCCGCCGAGTATCCCGCCAGAGTAGCTCGCCGGTGGATCCTGCTCAGTATCCGGCTAGCATCGAGCCGGCGCGGCCCGCCAGTATTCGCCAGTGGATCCCGCCAGTATCCCGCCAGAGCAGCTCGCCAGTCTGGTTTTGCTTAATGCCCCACCCGGCGCAAAGTTGGATTTACATGTCATGTTGGCGCCTTCTTGTTTTGAGTGTACCCTGAGGCTCGGCAAGGGTGATGCTTTTGTGTTGCTTTGGGTTGTGAATAGGCAACTTCGTTTAATCCCCCGTCGGGCTTCTTTTTGGACGGGGCTTGGCTTTTGTTAAAGTTCTCGAGATCGGCTCGCAGACAAGTGGAGTTTGACACACAGACAGGTGGATAAGAGCAGTCGTGGGCCCCAAGCCAGTCGAAAACCATGCTTGAATTCACACAACCGTGTTCACGGTGGTAAGCTCGTGAGTGTGGAGGGCGGGGATTGCTCGAAGCGAAGAATTGTGTTTTTTGTTTTTCTCTCTCTCTCTCTCTCTCTCTCTTTCTCTCGCTCTGTCTCTCTCTTTTTCTCTCGCTCTGTCTCTCTCTTTTTCTCTCGCTCTGTCTGTCTCTCTCTCTCTCTCTCCCTCTCTCTCTCTCTCTCTCTCTCTCTCTCTCTCTCTCTCTCTCTCTCTCTCTCTCTCTCTCAGAGTAGCATGTACCTACGACAGTGCTGCGCCTGTCACGTGAGCCAGGTAGACGAAGGTTAGCAAGGGATAGTCCCAGCCAGAGCCAGCCGCCATCTTAATTCTTTACATGGGTAGACCATTTGTGCATCAGGTTGTGGATGTGACTCGTGTGATCTGCTCCTGACGCTGCGAAAGTGCCGCGCCCCTATCAAACAAAAAAGCACCTGACGGCGAAAGCGCTGCGCTTTGCGCGGAACCTGCCTCATGCGTGCCAATGGGATTTCCAAAGCGCGCGCTCCAGCAATTGCAAAGTGCTGCGCAGGCCATGCGATGAGAGCAGTGCTGCACCTGCCACAAACTCTACTGTCACCAAAACTGAGCACCAATCCAACAAAGTGCCACGCCTGCCACGCAATCTGCACCTCAGATTTCCGAAGTGCTGCACCTCAAACTGTTGTCGCGAAAAGCGAGGGCCTAGGCCGGCAACGGTTGCCAAGCTCTTCCAACAAGTCTGACAGCTCCTTCCCGGTCCTTCCCTTTTTTTGCACTTTTGGGAAAGGTGGACGTAAGGGGAGCAGGAAAGCTTGGGCTCCCAGGAAGTGCGTTCGTTGCCCGCATGCAATCCCTTCATGCCGCAGGCATGAGCCGGCATGAGCCTTGGCCATGTACCATAGTCGAGGTGCTGAGCTACACACGCCTCCTCCAAAGGGAAGGCAAACCAAGCTGACCGTGGCTCTGGAATTGATGGCCGAGTCCAACATCACAAAAGCCTCATGTAATTAGCTCTCTGTTTTTGGTGTGTAGGTCAACTCTTCGTCACGCTGTGTACATAATTGCGCGGGCAACCTCTCAAAGCAGAGCCGTTAGGCGCCGCCCGGCGTCACTTTTAACTCCTTTTATTGCAGCTGGCGGTGCCATCTGAGGGCAGGAGCACCCCGAGAAAATCGACAGGCTTGCTTGAGCTGATCCGATGACTTTGTGTGGCAGTTGTTGATGGGCACTGGCGCATTTGTCGGTCGTTCCACCTTTAAGCCCTCCGATGGCGCCGTGAAAGCTGGAGATTGAATCGAAGCTCCCACCTCTGCAAGTTGCAGATCTTTGCACCAGGCGCAGCGCTTGCGTTTGCAGAGCCGTGGCTTGGACACGTCCCGCGCATCTCCTTAGCGGAATGCATGCAGACAAACATGTTTTCGATTTTGGGCAAGGCACGCCGCCCAAAGGCCTGTGAAATCAAGGCCGGGGGTCAGCTAGGGTTGATTTGGTCCTTATGCTTTATCATCGAAGCACTAGTCGGATCAGACAATTGGCAACTCATTCGGGGTCCAAGCCACGTTGCGCCGCGCCGGTCCGAAGGGGTGGCCGAGGCGACCAGTGAAAGGGCTGCGGAGTTCTTGTGGGATTTGCCGCGAGGGGCTTGGGCCACCCCTCACTGAGGAAGTTTGTCAAATTTGGAGCTGCGCCTTTGTTTGGGAGACGCTAGGTCAACGTGGGGACGCTCATATGGTTTGTCCCTTGGGGTGGAACAACATATTTGAGGTGTTTAGGTCCCAGGTTTGGGTTGAACATTGATGGTTGAAGAGACGTCGGCTTCATAAGGCGCCCACGCAATGACGTCTTTTTGGTGTTTCTTTCCTTCTTTTTTGCGGGGTGCTGATCAGTCCTGGCCTCCAACCTGCTGAACTTAGCTGGGCGCTGATTTGACTAATTTAAACATGTTACTTCGGGACAGGTTGCGTGGGTGATGGAATGCGAGGTGTGTGCATGGCTCAAGCGGGGCCAACGGCAGGAGCTGGCGTTTTGAGCACACGCGCGCTACACAATCCCAACGCAGATCAAATTACTCAGAGTTCACACAAATAGAAAACGGATAGAGTGCCCGACAGCTGCGCTGCACAGCCACACCGCTGCACTGCTGCGATGGTGACGGCGTGGTTCCAAGCTGTTTCCGATCTTTCTCAGGATGTGGAGCTTGCAGGAAGTGGATGGGCTCAGCCAAGCGGACATGGGGGGCTCGTGTGGGGCGTCGCGCTTTGGAAATGGGCTATGGCCCGTGCTGCCAAGGTGGGGCCGCATTGCCTGGATGACAGTGAGGCCGCGAGCTGTGCAAAGTTTGACTTGGCGCATAATAAGCAGTGCGCCCTCATGTTCGTCTTTGAGCCTGGTCCCATGCGAAGCGAGCGCTTGCCAGGTCAGGGGCGTGGTTTTTGATGTGGATGGCACACTGCCGAGCCCTCAATCAAAACCAGCTCCCGCGCCTTGCCTCGACTCGGGCGCACGGCTCAGGTTGGACACGATGCCTCTCTTCTACCCTTCCTGGCCAAAGACCGGGCTAGAGCGCTATGGGATGCCATTCCGTGCCGGTCAGTGCGGTCCACTCCAGCCTCGAACCTGTCAAGAGCAAATATTTTGGACATGGGCAGGTTCTCCCAGAGCAATGTATGAGATTCGATTTGTTACGTTGCTATGCCTTTGCCTTCCCACGCCCGGTCCTCAAAAGACTCTGCATGAATCGCTCAGTCAGACAAGGTTAGGCTTGTCACTTTTTCGCTAGACAGCTTGTAAACACCTAAAGGCCCCAAACAAAGCGGAGGACAAGAACGCCGGCCTAGGCTTCTCTGAGTTCTGCCCGCTCCGCAAATGGAGTTGATGAACCTCCGAATGTACCGCAAACCACCTTAAAGGACTCAAAGGAAAGCTTGTAGAGACCCTCTGCCAGTGATCGCACCCTTACGCATTGCATGGCAATCGCTCGCATTCCTTTGAGCTTGCGGACACGGGATCCATCGCACGGCCGGCATGGGCCGGAAAGGCGAAACCGGCTCTACTTGCCGACCTCGTTTTCGGACGTCAATCCGCCTCCCTGGGCCAATCCCCCTCTCTCGGTCCAAAGGCATTGCCAAGACGGAGCTCGTTCCAAGCTTCCGTGCCAGTAGCACCACGGCACCGCAACCATTGCCTTGCAGGACTGGTGATCAGCCGAGGCAGGCCGAGGGCGGTGTACCCTGCATGGATCAGTGCACTAGCTGCTTTTGGGAGATTACTGTCCTGTGCGCTTTCATGCGAGTTTGTAGGACAGTGCGTTTTAGCACCCTTTTGGCTGAGAAGATGACATGGGTGCCTGAATGACGTTCGCTCCACTTTGTGTTGTGGTCCCTTGATGTTTCCTGCTGTACGCCCCTTGCCACTGCAGGACTCAGAAGGTGTCTACAGGTTCAATATGGGCTTCCGTACTTTCATTGTAAGAACAAATGACTTATGAATGACTTATGGATGTGTGTGTGCGTGCCTTTGTTCAAGGAATTATGTTTCTTTTGGCTGCTTGCAAAGGTGTGCCTTGAGCGCTTAAGGGCTATGTTTGCAGCACCAAGCCCTTTTAGCACACCATGAACTGACAAATGAATTGATTCAAGCACACCGCGAACAGACAAATAAATTGATAAAGAGATAAGCGCAGAAAAACACAAGCAAGCAAGCAAACAAAGAAAGAAAGACATCGAGCACCAGATACACACACACGCACACACTTTCGGCACACACACACATACAATTATGTATGTAGAAACGATAAATAAATAAATAAATAACTAAATAAATCAATAAATAAATCAATAGCTATATATATATATATATAGCTTGGCTGCGACTTAGCCTGCAGGTGTCCATCAATCGCTGCCAGGTTCGGCCTGAGAGTCTCAGAGGAGGACTTCTATCGGCTGGCAGGCGGGTCCCGAGCTCTCGTTGGCTTGGTTTGCGATGACGGCGCCCTTTTCATAAGCGGAGGCAAGAGAGAAGACCTGCTCTCAATGGGGGCCCCAATTTCAGGAAGCAGTTCATACATTTCCTGTGTAACTTGCCAAGTCAAAGCTTTTGTATTCGGAGCCATGCGTGTATGTATATGCAAACAGAGAAATGTAGATAGAGAGATGCGTGTACATACACAGAGCAAAAGTAACGTGTGGATGTGTAACTTTCAATACGACAAGGGAGCGCCCCCCCCCCCCCCCCGTCTGGAGCCGTGGAAGCCAAGTGTTTCGTGGCAGCATCGAATGGGAAAGCGTCATTTGGAGGAGTGCCTTTGCCCGACATTGCCGGGAGCTGAGTGCTGTGGCAGGGTGCTGTGGCAGGAAGCCGGAGTCTGTATGGGAGTAGGAATGAGGCTCGCCGTCTCGAATTGCAGTTGTCTCTCTCAGGCTTCATCACAAACCCGATCCATTCACAGACTGCTCGTACTTTTTCCCCTTCCCTGTTGTTGCACATCACTTGAACAGGTTTTCAACACGTTGATTCCTTTTTCGAACACATGTTTTGCAAATGTCGGGCGCATGGCGTTGCAAATGGCACGCACGCAATTCTTGGGTATCGAGTTTGGCTTCCGGGGGGCACAAAGAATCATATTGTGTATTGAAATCCGCATGGGCGTAAGCAACATGTTATTTCTGAAGCAACCTTGGCGAATGCGCGGCGCTGACGCCACCTTACAGGTCCACAGTCTGCACGTGGAGCAGAAAGGCCTGTAGCCCCAGAGTGCGGAGCAAGCTGACTAGACGCGTTCTTCTCGGGCTGCTGCGCTGTAACCATTCGGGTTCCTTGCCCAAGATCTTTCCCTTTTCCTTTGAGCCGTGTGCACAGGAGCCGGCACCAGACGCTTCGCCTGGCACCGAGGCTGCGCCCCGTCGCCGGAGTTCGTGCCAGTGCCTCTGGCCACCGATGAGCCAAAACCGATTGAAAACTCGGCCCCGCAATACTATATGTAAAGAACGAGCCTCCAGAACGCTTGGTAGCAGCAGGTAACGACCTCGGCTGTATTCTGCAATTCCACATCAGCGACTGGGTGCATGACTGCATGCCAACCGGGTCATTCTGGTGCTACGCCCGCTTTCGTGGTTCGCGCGCCCAAGTTGTTTGGCATCCAATCTTGGGAGGCTTTGGCCCGCTTTTCACTAAAATCGTGGAAGTGCCTTTTCTTGAGCGCCCTGTGCACTTCCTTGCCACCCGGTTGGGATTCTGTCGCTCTTTGTGAGGTTTGGGGAAGGGGACCAAAAGGATTGTAAGACGACCACGCCACAGCGAGTATCCCACCAAATGTTCATGCCTCAAAAGTTACACGGGCTTGTCTTAGTTCTCAGGGCCCAGGGTGTGGGCGCTCGAGGAAAGACTTCGTGGCAGAAAAAGTGCGGGTGCACAAGGAGTTGGAGGCAGCGCAGCTGGGCCCATGAAGTGGTTGCATGTGGAGGGGGTCTCCATGAATCCATTCCGGTTGGTTCGTTCGCTTTGGTTAGCAGACAGGGGCCGATGGCAGGCACCGAGTTGAGGCTTTCAAGGTGCGATGGCAGTGCCTTGCTAGGCTGTGAAGGGCCCCCCTCCTCCAATTGCGGGCGTGGGGCCCTGAGGTGAGCAACACATGAGAATGAACAGCAGCTGCCTCACATCCTTCCGACTGTAGATGGTTGCGACATCCATTTCGCACCACCGTTCAGAAACCCTGGAATGATGATTCCCTTGTAATACCAACGGTTTCTCAGGGTTTGAAAGTGGCGCAGGATTTCCTCCACCCATAGTATACTTGCCCCTGTAAAGAAGCCAGTTGCTGGCTTGGTGTGGGAGAATTGGAATCCACGACCTGCCAACGCTTAAGCTTGATTTGGTGACACGGCAGTTGCCACACCCCGTATTAAAAAAGGAGACTTGCCCTCACCAACATGGCACCTGACAGGTCCTCCCCCTCCACAGGTGCTAGGTTTGTGGGAGGGAGGGCAATGGGAACCCAGGCTTTGACACCCCCCCGAGTCTAGAGCGCATCCATCACTTGTTTTTATCCGGGGTCAGGGATGGTAAGGGATATTTTGTTTTTATCAGCTTGGGCGGGGGCCGTTCCGTTCTCTCAGGTCGTGGCCCTTGCCAAGGAGTACAAGTCGCCCGGGCACCTGACCTCGGCCCTGAAAAGAATGTTCGCCAGCCGGCATCACCTGAGCAAGATTGGATGTCTCCACCGCGGTTTCAGAGCCTTGGAAGTTGCGAGCTGCTTGGCTCATGTTGGTTTCTCCGCCTCTGTCGGAGTCATCAGTTTTCAGAAGCCTGAGGGGTTGTAAACTGAAGGCCACCCTTTTGGGTTTTATTCCATTTGCCAGGGCCATCTATTTTTCCAAAAGGACACCTATGTTGACGAGCTCGAGCCTCCGGGACCGGGGCGTTTCACTCCGAGGCGCGGAGTGCCAGTGGCCATCGCCACCTCCGGCATTAAGGACATCGTGCCGGGAGCCCCGGGGCCGTTTCGGGGTGAGGATTCTTTGGGTCGGTTGAACAGCCAGATGTGGGCCTGATTTTTATTGGATAACTACCCGGTTCACTCTGGTTTGAAGGGAAACCTTTTTGTGGGGGGAGGGGGTCCGCCTACTCTGACACATACCCATTGGACTGCTTTCGTTTTGGTTCTGGTCGTTTGCGGTGCCATTTTTAAGAAAGGAAGGGGCCGGGGGCCAAAGCAGATTGGTGAATTAGGAGCCCTGGCTCATGGGTGAAGAATTCGGGGCGAAATGTAAGCCCTCAAGGTACAACTCGGGGAGTAATGTTGACCCAGGATGAAGAAACCCGTCCCATTATTAGGGGTGTGTTCCCTCTCAAAGTGATGAATCCCCACTAAAAGGGGACACCCCATACTGTGGATGGACGAAATCCTGCACCACTTTAGAACCAGGGGAAACCATTGTTCGTTGGCATTCACGGGGAAATATTCATTCCAGGGCTTCTTACATGGTGCAGGGTTTCGTCCATCCACAGTATTAATCCACCTGGGGTTCTGCTTCATCCGGGGCTAACATTACCAGGCGAAACGCCTTCCAAAACATGTTGCAGGCTGGAGCACCTGCACGCCGTGGGGTTGCAGGACTTGGTGCCGCGGGAGCCGGGCGCTAAAACCGTCGGAGGCCGGAAGAAGGGCCATGGCCATACGAGCCAGGAACGGAATTTCCAGTTGCTGGTTGCTGGCAAGGGGGCATGGTGAAGTTGGGTTGCGTCCCCTGGTTTTTGTGGGCGGTTTAGGCTCCCCCCATGCCCTCCCAAGCCAATAGTAGACTACGAATCATTTTGTCAGTTGTTCTGTGTGAGTAGGTGCCAGAATAGGACATGTTGTACTCTTTTGGTCTGCCCTTAAGCTCCCTTTGAAGTTCAAGGCTTTGTTTCACTTGCACCCTGTGGGGGTGCAAAAGATCAAGAGTCAACGGGGATCAGTGGTTTGCTTCTGTTTTATCCGTTATGTTCTGTCCTGCCACCGTCTCTTCCACTGGGTCTAAGCTGGCACATGCTTTAGCCCAGGCAAATTCACTTTAGGTCTACCCAAGCCTGCTTGGCCCCAGAAAGCTTGGGCAAGGAAACGTGTTCGGGGCTGAGGCTCATGGTCTTCTCCTCTGACGTGGCCAAGGGCAAGCTCTGGCCTGAGTGCGGAGAGGGTGGCAACGCGGCAGAGCATTTTTGATCTGTGAAAGTTTCTGCTCATTCTACGCACTGCCCCTCACAGCAAGAATTACTAAGAGGCTAGTGGCACAGATCCAACTGTCATTACGCAGGTGGTGATTATTTGCGAGTGCTGCAAAGTTACAGTAGGTTTCCGAAACATGGCAGTTGAACCAACCACGTCCAACTGCACAGCCTTGGTTGGCACAGACTTGATGACAGGCCTGATCCTGCTATCTACTTGGAGGCCGCCGAGCTCTTGGATTTTGTCTCTTTTCTACCTTGGCAACTGGGCACGGTTTTCGTGGTGGGGTTGGTCCTTGCCTGACTGGTTTGAGTTGATTTTGCTTGAGCCTCATCTGGTTGGTTGGATGGTTGGCTGGCTGGCTGGCTGACTTGTTTGTTGTTTTTGCTTGCTTGCTTGCTTGCTTGCTTGCTTGCTTGCTTGCTTGCTTGCTTGCTTGCTTGCTTGCTTGCTTGCTTGCTTGCTTGCTTGCCTCCGTGTTTGTTTGTTTGTTTGTTTCTTTGGTCGGTCGGTCGGCCGGTCGTTCGGTCGGTCGGTCGGTCGGTCTTTGGTTCGTTGGTTGGCTGGTGTATGGTGTGGGGTTGGGTGCTAATAGCGAAATAGCGCATTTCTCTCTACACGGGGGAGCGTGGATTCCACACCCAGATCGAAAGTGGGAGATTGGAACAGGACAACTGGTGGTCCGCCCACCCTATGGTCGTGGAACGTCTTTTTGCTATCAATTCTTGACCCCAAGAAAAACGCCTGGCAATGTAGTTTGCTAGTGAGGATGGCTCGCTTCGGCGTCACAGAAACCAGTGCCACTGTAGCTCCCCCCCCCTCCCAAAGGCCAAATTGCCCCCCTGCGGATTCACCAAACATCCCAAAGTCCATTCATTTTAGTACTAGTATTATTTGTTCAATAGTTACAAATCCAAATCCATATGTTGGTTTACCACTAACATGATTTTCATCTCAAGGGTAATTCTGTTTGGTGGACGAGGAACCCAAACCGAGGCCCGGCGTCTGGGCGTAGAGCCGCGCTTCTGCCGCGCCTATGAGGCGGGCCTCGTGGTCCCCGGAGTGTTTTTTTTTCCCCCTTGGTGCAGCCATGAAGCCACTTCCCTCGCCTTCTTGGCTCGTTTTTTTTGTGGCTTTCAAGCAGTAACAAAGGACCCCCGGTAAATTCAAGCATGAAATATGGCAGGGGCATCCACCGTCGCGTTTTGAGCCTTTTGCCTTCAGTTCAACCTGGCTAAGGCTTTGGCGACAAAAAAAACGCCGGCGGATCATTTGTCATTTGTTTGGTTGATCAAGCACAGTTGTCGCACCGTCCTAAGCTTGCCACGCACGGCAGCTTTGTTTAGCACATCTTGCGGATGCTTGGCTCTTGGATTTTCTTACTCCGCCCCATTATTGGCTCTCCTGATTTTGACACTCCACGATCGTGAGTGTGTGTGCCCGAGCTGTTTGCTTGCTACTCGTTGGGCTCGCTTGCCCTCAAGATCCATCCGTCAACTCTGACCAGGTGTGGGTGGCACGGGGTTGGGTGGCAAGTCTCAGGTGCCCAAAGTTTCAGGCAAGCAACTCCCATTTCGAAGCGGTCCGGGCTCGCTCCGTCGCGCCGATGGGAAAGACTCGAGGGCTGGGCCAGGATGGCGAGAGCGGCTTGCAGTCCGCCTGCCTGGCGGGCATGGAGACGGTTCGCGGCTCAGATGAGCCATGTGCTCAAAACCCATGATAAAGGTTAGTAAGGGACAATCCCAACCAGGAATAGCTGCGGCCGCCTTCTTAATTCTTTGCATGGTTTTGGGTAGACCATTTTAATACCGGGTTTTGATTATGACTCAGATGGGTGGTCCGTGGCGCTTTCGCTCGGCGGCGTCGCGTTGCGCCGCTGTGAGGGAGAACTGCTGGATGGTAGATTTGGGTCAGTTTCTGATTAGTCTGGCCAGCAGGTCCTACAAGAACAGCGTATACATGAAACGCGCTTGAAAGCCTTGAGTTCGGGCGCTGGTCAACTCAACCCATGCCCGCCCATGCCTCGCGCCCAGATCGACGTCACCTTCATGCAGGACTACCCGGCCCCGGAGGCGCTGCGGAAGGCGCGCGTCGGCTCGTGTGGCCCATGTTGAGTTGGCTGATCCGGTTACTGCCACCGCCCCACTGGCATTAAGAGTGTTTAACCAATTCAAACTACGCTGCCCTCTTTCTGCAACAATCATGCTAAGTGGACAGAGGGCCTTTCTAAGATGATGGTAAGACTCCAAGACCCACCTCACTTTGATTGTTGAGCGGGCTAATCAGCAAACTCCTGAGTGCGCACGGAGGCCAAGATGGAGCAGATTAGCAGACGAGAGTGGCTGCCTGCGTGACGGCGGGTCTCAGAGAGATGCCTCCCCTTCTTAACCTTTAGGCGCACAGCGCTTGCATGACAAAAGTGGACCTTTTAAACTATTGGGTTGATTAGCTGAATAGTTTGCAGGCTGCGCCTCGGAGGAAGTTGAGCCCAGATGGCACTTGAAGGCGCTTCAACTTGCCATGTTGGCTCAATCTTGTCTGTATTTCTGCATGTTGGCGGGCTGTCACCAGAGCAGTTCCTGCTTGAGACTCCGCTGCGTGACATGCTGTTTGGTGGTGGCCGCGTTCTCTGTGGGTTGCCACTGGCCGGCATTTTGGCTGGGTTGCTGCCAGAAGCCGGTTTTCGAGTGCCGCGGTTGGCCCCAAACATCTGGAAAATAGGCGTCTCAGCGCCCAGCCGAGGTGAGGGTTGGGCGGGCTTTTGCGCGTTTCTTTGGCGCAAGCAGGTCATTTACTCGCCAAGAGCTCATTCGCCGAGCCTGCTCAAAGGAGGGGCTAGCTGATCAGCCGTCTGGAAGAAGACAACACGGCCAAGTCCAGAAAGCAAGCAAGCCATGTAAGAGCGCGTTGGTAGCCAAGAGCCATGCAAAGCATAGATTCGTCCACCGGGGTGGCCGATGTCAAAGCATCCATCATGCACCGGCATAACGATGGCCTTTTTTTTCCGGAGTAACGAAACTCATAACAGGGCGGAACTTGAGGTTACATGAATGCATATGCTTGTTTGCAATATATGTTAGTATGTTTGCACGTCTCCCTAGGCATATGCGGCAGCCATTGTGCCATGAAGGCGGTTGACCGGGCTCAGCGGCAGATTCTGAGGGAGAAGCTGTCGGGCTTCGAGTTGTTCAAGGAGTGGCTGGGGGCAGGGTAGGGAGTGAGCTCAGCTATGGCCGGCCTCCTTCATATTGCAGCGGGCGGGGAACCCAGTAGTTTTCTTCTCGAGCCACGCGCGGGGAAGAATGGATAGACGGAAGTGGGTGAACTGTGACGGGGATGTTGGGGGATAACGAGCCACGAAGCTCCCTCGGTTTCCGGTGGCTAGACATGGCTAAGAGTGCAGCCATCTGGACGATGTGCCGCAGGAGCTGCCCAACCCTCTCAAGGAGGAGCTTGTGACAGTCGTTGATCAGGCTGATGTGCAAGATGTGCGGTGATTGGCTTGCGTGCGTGTACGGCTCCCAACGTGGCGTTGGTGTTTGACAAACACCGCGCCAGGTGGCCTATGCCCAGGGTAGCGTGCTCTTCCACGAGGGTGACCCGCCGGAGGACACCTACCTGATCCTGGAGGGCGAGGCGCGGCCATAGCTGGTTTCATGGCTGATGTTGGATGTGCGTCGCAGCTGGCCGGTCGCTTCGCTGCTGGTTCAACCACCTCGAAATCTACCGGAAGCTATAACAGCCGGAACAGATTGATGTGTTTGGAACGGCTGAAGCGCCGTGAGCACTTTCTGCTTTGCGCAGTCCAGAGCACAACTGCGCCGCTTGCTTGGCCCAGCAGCAACCAACAGCGGCCTGCAGGCAAAGATCGTAGTCTCCAAGCGCCCGAGGGGCCAAAAGAGACCGCATCCCTTACTCAATGCCGGCACGCGCCCCGAATTGGACAAACCAAGGGAATGCAAACTGGCTGCCCAGGGGCAACGCATCCATCAAAGGCAGCTGGCTTGAACAAACGTGCGATCGCATTGATGCACGGAAAACATGACAGGGTTTTGGCTTGAGTTATTGTTTGGAGGGAAGTTGTCGCGGCTTGCGACGTGCATCCCAGGTGCGGGTCTACAACAAAGCTGCGGACAATGTGCGGGGCTCGAGGGTTCTCAAGGGTAGCTTTTTTTCTTTGTTTGTTATTTTCGGCTAATTAGGAAGCATGGACCAAGGGACCAAGGGATGGACATGTTGCCCGCCTCAGCGCCTGGTTTGTTCACAGGTTGTGTGCTTACGCGGTTTCAGTGTAGTCGCAGGATGCGGCATTGTTGTCATGCCGGGAGCTGATCCCTTCCCGCGAAGTTCCGGGGTTCTCCAACACCACTTGTTGCGTGGTGTTGGATGTGCATTCCGTTGCGAACTGGCCGTGCCAATTCCTTTGGAAGAGGCCTGAAATCATGGCGACCTACTCCAATCCGTGGAGGAATCCCTTTTTGGGGGAGCTCGAATTGTTGGGCTCCATGTGTTGCAGGGACAGCAACCCAGTGCCTGAGCACCTCCGTGACCTGCCACAGCGGCGGCTGAGGAGAAGGACGACGCGTCGCCCCGGCGGAGCATCATACGCAGGCCATCCGCCAACAGCGCAGAAGAGGCGCGGATGGGAACAGGATCGATGCTTCAATGGGCAGTTTGTAGTGGCCATGGCCCCGTAAAGATCGGAGGATATGCCTTGGAGCAAGGCTGATTCACTGATTGAGTTGTGAGACGGTTTCTGGGGGGTTATTTGGCTGTCACGTCACATGCGGCTGCGAACATCTCTCACACAGATGGTATAGTGGTCTCCTCGTTGTCTCGTTTTCACGGGCCAGAGCTAGAATGTTTCATTCGGCCGAGCCTTCATGCTCGTTGTTCTTGTTTTCTTCACTTTCTTTTTTTTTTGGGGGGGGGATGTTGGGAGTGAATTCTATGACGTGAGTAATTAGCTGTGCTCATACATCAAGGCGCTGCGATCCGAGGCAAGGTTTCATGTCAATTGTTGCAGAATAGCCTTTTGAACATTCACACCACCCAGCACATGGCACCAGGAGTGGACCACGTTGGGCTTCAACAGCCAGACCCTGACCCCCTTGAAAGCGGAACGATACAGATGTTGTTTCAACAAACGTGGAAAGATGTTTAACAGCAGGGATGGCCAACCCATTGCACCCCACCTCTGGTGGACGGCTTACCGATGGTGCGGCAGAGAGAGAGAGAGAGAGAGATTGGGAGATAGAGAGAGAGAGAGAACCCATCGCACCATATCTCGCCGAACTCGTGCTTCGTCTGGCGGTGTGCTGTCACGAATCGCCAGTCAGAGCTGGGCCAGTGTGTGAACGTGATCCCGGCGGGGCGGTCGCTGGGCCGCGACCTCAAATGGACCGAACAGTGTCGGGGAACCAACTGGACCTGAGGGGCGAAATGGCCCCGTTTTTTTTCTCCAACTTTCCCAAAAGGTAGCCCAAAGAGGATGAGTGTTTGTTTCTTAACTGGAGACGTAAGGTGCCCTTTTAACCGTGCTCATTGCGGTCTAACATGATCATGTCACCATGGGACGAGTATGCTGGTTACCAACTCAGGTGCCCAGAAATCCGACGCGAGCCTGTGGTCACAGAGCCCCTCTTTGAATGTGAAGCAGGTTGTTCCAATGAAAAATGAGGGACCCTCGGCCTGCATTCCCAGAGGCGAGCCAACGATGCAAGTTAGGGTTTTTTTACACGCGGGCCTGTCTCAGCACAAGAGTCCACTCATGACTTTTCAACCGACCCATGTGCAGGCAACCAATGAAGGCCCAATTCTCGCAACCCCCATCTGAGGCATGATTGAAGTGATGCAGGAAATCCCGCGATCAGCCACAGCTGCCTGCTCCTTGGAGTGCGAGATGGTTGTCATCAGGCGCGCTCGGGGCTTGGAGTTCCTTGCCGCCCAGAAAAGCGCCCGCTGAGTGGTCTTTTCCGGGAAGGGGATGGGGATGCCACCGCGCCATGGAGTCCTTGTTGAGCCCTAAACCCCAAACAAATCAAACCCCCGTTGTTTGCGGTTCCGGCCCGAGCTAGTCTTGGCGCTTGGTTTCTCGGGCGGCCGCAGGAAGCCGGACTTCCTGCGCCTAGTGAAGGACCCCATGTCCCGGGATTGGGTCGAGAAGGATGAGCGACTCGGCGTGTGATACTGGGCCTTGCCTCCCTCCACTTGTAGCATGGGCGGTGCTTTCTCGAGAAGTGCAGGTCAGGAGTTGGCTTCCACGCCTGAAGGCTTGAGGGTTGCCGGGGGAGGGTTGCAAGATTGGTGAGGCAGCTGTGGTTTTCACCACGAGAATCTGTGGAACATGGTTGGGTCCGCCCGGTCTGAATCTCGAAACCTAGTGAGGCGGTTGCAAATTTCCCCTGCACCTTTCAGCCCAAACCCGCGAGAATTCGGGGCATGCGAGCCAAGGTTCCTTCAAGTCCATCTCGTAGGCATCCGCGAGCACGCGCGAACCTTCGTTCCAATCACTGGCAAGTACTAGCCTCAGCACAGGCAGCGGCGAGCAAGTGAGGATCACTGTCCACTCCGAAGTGGCACTACGAATAGTGCTCTGGTGCACTAAGGGAGGGCTCTTTTTCCGGAAGCTCAGTTCGGGGGTTGGGCTCAGGTCTCATGCCACCTACATGTTCGTGAAACGGAAGTATGCCGGGGGCCACCCCTTCCTCCGGGAGGCGGGAAGCGGACGCTACATGCGCTTACGCCATCGCACCCGGCCCAGCCTCACCGCCAGGGCACCCACACGGAGGCGGCCTTGTACGTGGTCTTCTCAGGGTCTGTGGAGTTCTACTGTCCGCACCCGGCAGAAGGCCGGGTTTTTCTGCGAGAGCACCGAGCCCTGGCCGCGCACTACTTGGGGTTGTGGAGGCCACAGAGGTGCTCTGGTGTTGAACCAAAACTGCGAAATCCGCGCTTGCTTTTGCTTTGAGGACACCCCCGCCGTGTTTGCAATGCTCCGCGTTTTGCCGATGTTCATCCCGAACCGCCAGGAGTCTCCCCTTCGCGAGCTAGCTTGTCATGGAAGAATCCGGCGTGGGGGCTCAATTCGAACGACGGGTTCCATCACCCCCCACCCCCCCCAATTCCCCCCCCCCCCCCTGTCCATCTGACAGGAAACTGGGAAATAACGTGACACGCTTGATTCGGCGGCTTAGTCGCAACATATTCCAACTATTCGCTTCTGCCTGAGCCAGCTCACCCCTCTAAGATGGTTTAGGCATGTTGAGGCTGCCTCCAAAAGGCGGCCGAATAAATTTCTGTTCGAACGGAATGTATGAACCATGCATGAACCCTTGGTGTGACCTTCTAGTTTATTGTCTTATGAACATGGGCAAGTGTGGGAAGCTGACCAAAGATCCCGAACATGGCCGCGGGTTCATGTGTGGGACCACATGTCAAGCCCACGAATTGAGACAACTCATCCGGGGAGCATGACAGCACTCAGTTGACATGACACGGCAATTCGCAGAGTGGCACCGGCTTCCCAACCTGACCAAATGAAGGGGCAATAGGCTATAGCTTGGCCTATGGAGACAACTATATTTCGCACGCCTGAAGTAAGGATAGTAAGGAATCCCCAAGTACGGAGCACATGCGTGGTGGCAAACTCAACGTTGGTTCTGGAAGATCCCTCGTTGCACCACCATTTTAAATGCTTCGGGATGAAACATGAAACGGGCAAATCCCCCTTGCCCGAAACACTTTAACTCCAGTTCGCGCAGCCCCAGCATGGTCCTCAGGTTCTGCAAAGTCAACGCCTTCGCTTTAACAGCTCAAGTCCCCGGGATAGTTTCACTAACATAATTAACCACTATGGAATGGTTTCCGTTAGTTTGGGGATGGTGGAAACTATGTTAGAGAGTCAGTTGCCCCCTTTGTTCGAGGAATGCACTTTTGTGGACCACCCCATTTGGGTTCCACGTTAAATCGAAGGGGAGCAACCGTTCTTAAGATGGGGACCCTTTTTCGGGATGGTATTCAATTTGAGACCAACTCAATTTCATGGGCCCCCAGTTTGGGAAGAACTTTTGGCTCGAGCCCTCGAAGTCTTTTCCAAGACTCCTTCATTAAGCAGATGCCCTTCCCCCTATTCCATTTCCACCCTTGTGCCTGGAAAAAAGGGGGCGTGGGGCACCGGGCGCCGTTTTCCGTCTACCTGGGGGGTCTACCAAAAAGCGGGGGTTCCGTCCCGTCCCGACCAAAACGGGGAAAAACAAAAACCGGAACTTGGGGCACCTGGCGTCGTCCCCCGTCTACCAACGAGGGGTCGGCACCCCGTTTCGTTGCCAAAACCGCGGAGGTCATGGAGCAGCGGAAGCCTCTGGGCCTGCTTCAGCCCAGCTGCGCCGGGGTGCTGGCCAGGGAGTACCGGCCCGGAGCCCCAGCGTGGAGGGGTCAGACGCTCTGGCTTGGGCTTCGCCCGGTTGCCTATTTTGTGGTGTTTTTTTTGTCACAATGTGTTTTTTTGGTTTGGTTTGCATTTTTTTTTGGAGGGGGGAGTGGGGGTGGTGAAAAGGTGAGTTTCGCACGTTTGGCCTTCAAAATCACCCTCCCTTCCCTTCAAAAGAACAACGCAAAACGGTCAAAGTGGAACTCGGAAAATACCTTCCCCGGCCACCCCTGTTCCACGGCAACAAGCTGAATAGACTTTGGTTGCAAAGTCCTTCCTTTTCCTTCCATCCTTCCCTCCCTCCCTCCCTTACCTCCTTCCTTACCCACCCGCCCGCCCGCCCGCCTGCGTGCCTGCCTGCCTGCGTACCTACCTTGCCTGTACCCACCTACCTGCATACCTACCTACCCGGCACCCACCCACCCACCCACCTCTTTTCCTTCCTTCCTGCAGCACTTTTTGAGGGAGGCGGGCGGGTGATGGCTGGATGAATGGACGGATGGGTGGGTGGGTGGGGATAATTTGCTTCGCACTTAGGGCTGGGCAATGCTGAAGTATTTCCCCCTCCCTTCAGAAGGCTTAGGTTTGAACCCAGGGCCATGTTTGGCAGCGCTCCACTATCAAGCAAGCCTTACTTGCTGATTCACCGCGAAAGTTAAGGGTGTTCACATCAGGGATCCACACCATGTTTTTCTTTTGCGCATAGATGTGGACGCACAAGAACACAAGATGTATACATTTATACGTTTGCACGTCTCCGGGCTCATGCCCGGAGTCCAAACTGCGTCGAGGCTGTGCTCCATGCTGCCGGGGGGCATCTTCAGCAGCGTGGGGGCAGCGGGGGCCAGCAACCCGGAGCCTTTCACCGTGGTGGCAGGCACTTCGGCCGCTTCTTTCGGGGCGTGAATGGGGGGGGAGGGAGCATTCAGGGAGGTCGGAAGTCGGAGGGTCAGCAAAGGAAGAGAAGTGGGGTTGTAGAATTGGTGCAGGGCTTGCACTTCCATTGGTTTAGAAGGGGGGAGTGGACCCCGTGCATTTTTGCGTGGCTTCCACTTATTCAGCCATTGGTCCTCTGAGCGTCGAATGTGCGGCGATTAAAACTGTTGCCCGTTGCGAGGCCCCAAAGGGTGCGAGGTCTTCGAGTCAGTGGGCGACAACTTCCAGAAGTTGCCATCCAAGGCCTTGGCTTGTTTGGCTGTGTGCTTGTGGATTTGCTCTTGGCTGGAGTTGGGACGGCTTTACATGTTGGAGGTGAGTCAAGCAGATGGATTTAGTTTTTTTTTTTGGCTTGTCTGGAGCCGATACCTTTTGGGGGTTCGGTGCTGGGCAATTGGAACCCACGCCATGCTCCACGTCCAGCTGTCGAGTCATCCAGCCCACGAGCGAAGCGCGTTGTCGCACAGGTGGCGGCCCTGGCGCGGGACTTGCTCGCCAAGGTGGCGCAGCTCCACCAAGACAGGCGCGGTGAAACGTGGGGGTGTGGGGGTGTGGGGGTGTGGGGGGTTGGGAAGGTCGATCTGACGTTTTGGGATTTGGATTCGGTTGGTTCGAGGTTTGAGTTTTGGGCTTTGGTTGGGTTTGGCGAAAAACAGCTTGGCTGATTCGATTGGGCGTTGGGCGTTGGGCCTTATGGCGCGCTGGGACCCCTTGGGAGGTGTCAGGTCCTGCTGGCGACGATGCGCGACACTGGCAACGACGACAATCCGGCGAAGCCTTCGCCTTGGAAGCGATTTGATCATGCCAAAGGGGCCAATGATAAGGAATCTTTGGACCAAAGAGTGATGGTTGGCCCTGGAACGCATCGGGATTTGTGTCTAGCACCCATTTTCGAGGGTATTCCGAGTTGACATTCATGGGGCATGGGCTTTTTGGCCCCTCTAAGGTTACAAACGAGACTATCAAAGACTATCCGTCGATTGGAGGGTTCAATTCATTATGACAGGCAAATGGTTTGGAGGGTTGTCACTTTTTGCTCCGCACATGCAGCGGGCGCCGGGTTCTTGCTTTTCTGTTCCTGGCACAGTGGGCGCTCTTTCAGCTCGGGGTCTACACCCACGCCGAGGGTTGGGCTTTAAGGATGTGGAGCCGGGTGAAAGAAATGAACGAGAAAGGCGGGGGCGCGGGCGCGCGCGCGCGAGTTGGTGAGCGGGGCTCGAGGTTCGTTCCAATCCTTCGGCCCTGCACCGGCAAGAGGATTGTTTCATTGCCGGATGGCCTCCAACAAGCCAAACAAAGTCAAACAAATCCACAACTAAGTTGAGCAAAAAAACAAGCAAACAGACAAGCAAACCAACAAACAACCACTCAACACAACCAAACACAGAACCCAACGAGCACACAAACACATACACAGCGGTGGATCAATCCACGCACCCACCCACCCACCCAATCAATCAAACCAATCAAATAAATCAAGCCAATGCAATCAATCAAATCAACCGAACCAACCAGACCAACCAACTCAATCAAAACAAGCAAGCCACCCCAATCCAATCCAATCCAATGCAACCCAGCCCAACCTGATCCAATCCAATCGAGGCTGAAGGGGGCGGTTGTCCACTTCCATGTTGGAGGGCTGGCCTTTCACACACACCGATACACCTGCAGATTTAGCCCGGAACCCCTGACGACAACCATCTCTTAGCCGGATGCCCTTCAAGCGACATCCTCACAACATTTTCCCGCGAAGTGCGTTTCGGTTTTCAGGCACGCCACTCCCCAAAACGTTTTTTTGAGGAGCCCTTCAAGGCCCAGAGGAAGCTCCCTCGCGATGTTCCATCTGAAGTTGGCGCAGCCGTCGCCCCAAGTTGGGCCGAGCCGCCAGGAGCGAAGAAGGCCCCGAGCCCGCTGGCCACCTCCAGCAGGATGCAGGCGCGATTTCGAAATCTGCGTCTTCGGATGTTTGCGACTGCCAAGTTGCCTTGAGCCTCCTTTTGCTGGGGTGAGGTTGAAACGCACTTCCCAAGCTTTTGCTGATGTTGAAACGCACTTCCCAATTTTAACGCACTACATACTTTTTGGGAAGAGTATTTTAGTGGCCAACAACAAGTTTGTACATTATAAATTTGTTTGGCCAAGCCACTCAAGGGGAGGAAAGGGGGATGGGACCCGATAGCCTGCCAGCTAGCTCGAGGGCTTAGCCCAACCTTAGGTGAAGCGTTGAAAACATCCGAAGTCTCACTCGGGCTGAGACTTGGGAAGCAGAGGTCTCGACCATTTCATTTCTTAAGGCAAAGAGGAGCCAGAATGCGGTTCCACTTTACCCTTTGGGCATTTCAGAGGTGGGCCTGTCGCAGACTGGGCAGCTTTCGGCGCGCGCGTCCCGCTCGGCAACTTGGCGAGACCTTTCGGGGAAGTCGGAAACCTGAGGGATGAATTCACAAAAGTGATGGATCCCGACTTAAACGGGACACCTTTTTGCCACCGTTCCATCACCAAGCATGGAAGTGCAGAGGCCGTTTGGAAGACGATTTGAAGTTTGCCTCTCGGAAGGTGGGTCCGAGTTCACAGTCCGCTCAGCTCAAGTTTCGATTGGCCAGGCATCGGAGTTCGGGTGACTGCGTTTTGCGGGTTGGAAAGTTGAACACCTAGTGTGGTTCTAGGCTTCACTCCTCTGGCCTTCGCTGGCCCAGGAGGGGAACCCACGCGTGGCCTGACGAGAGGGCCTGTCCCAGCGGCGCGTAGCGCAGGGCCGCTGCGCTTCCAAATGGAAGCCTCGTCCTTTTTCAAGCCGCGCCAGCCTCAACTGCTCACGTGGCCGACGAACATGCCTTAGGGGCAACCCAGGCAAAGTGTTTTTGATGGGGGGCCGCATTTGTTCCTTGACAAAGCTTCTCCGATGCCCTAAGTCATGAGGCTCCTCCACGTGGACCCGTGCCTGGGTTGCCATGGCTTTCGCGGCACGGTGAGACGTGGTTGCTCCCGAATGCGCGGACTTTTAGTCCCTGGACCGGATTGGCCAGCTGGAGTTTTGTAGCCACCACTGTGTGTGTGTGTGCGTGTGTGTGTGCGTGCGTGTCCACATGTGGCTTTAATTGCAATGCTCTTGCAAGTGGTGACGCTGTTGATGGCGTTGAAGTTGCAAGCGATCTGGATTGCAAAGCAAGCGCAATTCTCCGCAAGATGCTTATGGCCAGAACTCCCGCACCCCTACGGCAGCCAAAAAGCACTACCCCCTGCTAGCTATCAAGCAGGTGCGCCCATGGTGCCGTCGACAGCCAGCGGACGAGTGGAGGATACGACATTTTGCAACGGCGATGGCGAAGTGAAAACCTTTGGTCACTCTGAAAGGCTTTCTTGGCAATTGTTGGCTGCAAGCTAGCTGTCGCCGGAGAACCGGATTTAAGGCAAGAGCCTCCCAAGATCTGGGGTTTCTGGCATGCAAAGTATGCTGGATGAGTGGCCTTCGGCCAATGCGAAAAGACATGTTTGCTTCGTGTTTCCTGGGGTGGAATTGCAGCCAGATGTGGCAGGGGTCCCTATATTTGCTTTTCAAGGTCCTTGGCCCATATTTCCTACTGGTTGTTGCCATGTTCAGGGGTTTCACATGGTGTTTTGCTGAGTGATGTGCAGAAGGGAAACGCGTTGAGCCATGTGATTCAGACAGTCAGCAGTCTCTTGCTCGAATTGGGCGAATTTGGGCTCAAGCGCAAGGCAGTGAGATCAGAAACCCCTCCTGCCTGCCTTGCGTGTATCCCTTTTTCCGGGCTTCGTGCCCTGGCCCGCGTGGCATTTGGGGGCGGGGGCATTCGGGGGGGTTGTGGGGATGAGTAGCTTGCTGGGTGCGTGGGAGATGGCTTGAGCATTTGAGCACCAGGTACCTGGGCCTCGATAGATGGCCCTGGCCCTCCATATCCTGGTTTTCCTGGCCTTGGCCTTGCGAATAGACGCGCCTGCCTGAGATGGGAACATTGGCAAGTGCTGATGCTAGTATCTGCCAGAATGGCTGTCAACTACCATCCTCAAGCCGCCATATGCCGCCATTACGAACAGCAGCCATCACTTCACACCTGCTGCAAGGCGAATGGTGGCACTGCCCTCAGCTGCGGGTCAGGAGATGGGGGCTCCTCGATGGGCCAAACGGGCGTTGGATGGTCGCGGGCATCGACGTGTCGGCATGCCATGCGGCCCATGTCCATCAACTAGTATGGAATCCGAGCTGGATCGGTCAGGCGGGATCGCAGCAGGCGAGCCCCCACTAGATGAATCCTGCGAGGCTGGGTGCCGCAAGACACGCTTGCGTGCCTCGTGCAAAGCGTAGGATTTGGACATTCAACTAGCGGGGTCGCCTCCGATGACTGATTACTCCGTCGCATTTGGGCACATGTTTTTGCACTGAGAGGGGGGGGGATGGGCAGATTCCTTTGTGCGAGTGGGTGGGCATATGTGATATGTGTTACTTTTTCAGAGGTCATATGTGACATGAGCTTGTCTCTAAATAGGGGGACCCCCCAAAATGATTGGTGTCTCTTTGGTTCTTTCCCCTTCAAACCAGCCTCAAACCAGCCCCAAGAAGTCTGAATGGCGCTTGAATACCCCGCCCAGCGACCGCTGGGCTCGGCCCTCAGGAAGACCTCCTTGACGTGAGGCTCTTGCAGACGCGCGGGCCTTACATGGTCCGAGCAAAGAAGCGGCAAGGCTGGGGGAAGGGCTTCCTATGCCATAGAAATCCGCCACCGTTTTTCCTTTGTTCCACCAGCAATGGGAAGTCCGGAAGAGGCGAAGGCTGGTCCCCAGGGCGCCTGTCAACTGTCCGCTTCGAGGGAGTAGACAGGCCATTCGCGGCTGATGCCCGGTGGGTCCCTTTACCAGCAGTGGGCGCTTGGATAGTGCTGACTTTCTGGGGTGAACTTGCTTCATTCTGTGCAAGAACTCCTTTGGGCCACTAGTCATCTCAACAGTCACATGGAAGTTCGGAAGCCTTCAGATACCCAGTTTCGCTCTAGGTCGCTGGCCCTGAATGGCCGACCCCGGGAGGCGCGCTGGTGACATTTGCGGGCCCAGCAACTTCAGCACAGGGCTCTCGCTTGTCTCACTCCCTGAGTGGACACCGCCCCTTTTTCGGTGAGGTCATGTTGGTGGTGAACACAAAGTTTTGGCTTTTTTGGCAAACCACCCGAGAAAGGTGTATTTCCATCAGAATGACCTGGATGTGTCAGGATGTTTATCACATTTGGGCCATTCGGTGGCCCCTTTGCAGCTGGAAAATGACCTGCGCCGGCACCAAGCCCCACCAAGCCCCAGTCACTTGAGGTTATTTGCCAGCACCAAGCCCCACCAAACCCCACCAAAAACAGTACCTTGAAGAGGAACCTGCATCCCGCCCTACCGTGACCCAACTCCCCCACCCTTTTGGAGGAGCTGTTGGCCCAAAGAGCCGAAATCTCGCCCGGCACTCGGGCATGAGCTGGTCAGCCTTTGGTAGGTTGCCGCTGTGTGCCTGACAAGGCATGCCAAACCGCGGACCTTTTAAAAATGCCCTGTCTCAGTAGGCATGGGCAGTATCGACTCTGGCTTGGGGAAGCCCAGGTCAATCTGAATCAGTAACTTCGGGTGTCAAGAAACTGGTGGGTCTTGAAGGGCCCTTCGCACAAGCCGGGAGCCGAGGTCGGAGAAGAAGGAGGCGGCACACCATCCCAGGAAGTCCTTGGGAATGTTGGTGCCCAGCTCAGCATGTGGGGGGCGGGTGTTAAATGTGCCCCACAGGCAGCTTCAGTATCCGGATTGGAGGTAGCCCCAGAGAGCCCCGCATTGGCTTCGGGGATCTCAAGGCTTGATCAATGGCTGAGGCTGAAGAAGCGATGATCCGCTCAGAGCCTGGAGCTCGAGAATCGCGAGGCCCTCTACCTCTCCCAGGTTCACCGGGGTGGCAAGTAGTCAGCACTGTGGCCTTGGTTGAGTGGTGACAGACTTGGGGCATCAAAAATGTGGCCCAAGTTTCCTTGATTTGCGAGCCCATGGGGAGCCATGCCCCCTGGCTCTACATCAAAGCTCCGGCTGGGACGTGGGCCGAGTTCCAATCAAGCTGAATTGAGCTGAGGTGGGTGGTGCTCGGGTGCTACGCGGCCATCTATGCCGTCTCCGCCCCGTGGCCGCAAAAAGTCGCATTTCCAGCGAAGCGCTCCGGGGTCCAAGGGGTCCAGCTCGATTTGTGGGTCGCTATTTCTCTGAAACCGGTGGATGCACGCCCCCTGGTGGGACAAGCCTCGGCCAGGTCTGTCTCATCATCCGCAGCATGACGAAGAGCAGGGGGCGCCAGTCGGAGTCAGTCGGAGTTGGAGGGAGGTGGGGGTTTGGCTCCAGGTGGAAACGTGTCAGAAAGGGTCCCCGCAAAAACGGGTTGCTTCCCTTGAGTTTCCCTTTGAACCACGTGGAGATTTGCATTGGCTCCCAGCTATTTGGAAGAGAGGTTCCCGCCTCGGTGGGGAACCTGAATTCGAGAACCCGAGGCCCCCCTGGCTTTGACAACAAGCTAGCGGCCGGTCACAAGGCGCGGGGTTCGATGTTTGGGGCGTTCGGGACGGAGACTCTTGGCACCGCTAAGCCCTTGCAGGTGGAGGACATGGATGCAGAGACCAGGGTGTGGCGACAAGGCCTGGCTTCGTGCGTGTCCGTTGCAGATTTTTCACTAATTACGCCCGAGGGGGGTAGGGAAATGGTTGTTTTGTTCAATGCGGCTGAGATGCAGGCTAGGCCCATACCATGGTTCAAAATAATTAGCAACCACCAGGGCGAGGTTGTACCCGCTTCTGGATCCACTGTTCAGGTTCGCTTGAGCCGCAAACGGCACAAACCGAACCTGCCGCTCTTGCTCCAAAAAGCCGTGCTAGTGGGATCTTTCGGATGCAACGAGCGAGAGAGAGACAGAGCGAGAAAGAGAGATAAAGAGAGAATGGGTTTGACGACGGCGAGAGAGCCGTGCAAGTGGCTGAGCTTTGAATCACGGGGGCAGGATTCCTCAGCTGGCTGGCGGTATCCTGGGCCACTCCCTGGTGCGCGCGCTGGGGGCATTCCCTGCAGCTCCGCCGCAGAGAGAGGGTCAGGCAGACCTTTGGGTTGGCAAGGCTTTGGGATGAAGTTTGGAGTGGTCATTGCTGCTTGTCGTGCCTGCCCAGCAAGATGCTACAACATGTTTCTCAGATCAGGGTGTTCGACGAGTGCCAGTGGGTTGACAAGGACGCCCCGACACATTATGATAGGCTTTCTTCAGCGGGCCATTGCAAAAGAATGGCCAATCCGCCGCAGTTCTTGGATCAGGTTGCGAAGATTGGTTTCTCTACCCAGTGCAGCGGTGCACAGCTCACTGGACATTTCACACCTATATAAGATTTGAATTCACTAGTGGCATTCCAACGCCCAAGCCTTTGCCTCAGAGCTATACATGGCTTGCTGTCAGTGCACCCCAGTAAAAACGGGGGAGGGCAAGAGTTGCCATGTTGATTCTCGCCGGTTTATCAGGGGCCTTTTGATGCTGTGGCGGGGTTAGCTGCGCTTGTTGGAAGTTGCCACGTGACTGAGATGCGATGAACCCGTTTTGACGTTCGAAAAGGGCCATGCACCTCAAACTCGACTGGCACTACAAAAATCACTTGTGGGATCCTGCCCAATATTGTTTTGATCAGAAAATCATCGAGCCAGCTCCAGGGTCCCAAGCAAACTGCTGTTTCCCAGGATGAATTAACCCTGGTTGAATCATAGGGGATGTCCCTCACAAGACCCTTCACTTGCGGGAAACATCGCCCCACAAATCCGCAAGGTTTCCCTGGTGCTAAGTAGCTCCTAACGTTCAATGTTCCCAAAATGACTCCGACTGATTTGTTATTTCGCGGATTTTGCTCCCCCCCCTTCCCTGATTTTGGCCTGTCTGTTATTCATCCGGGGGTCAGCGGGTACCCGAGGAACGCCGCACTCACCAAGATCAAGGCGGATCAGCTGCCTCAGCTTGGCTTCCGCGACGACATGGCGTGCGGAACCTGGCGATGGGGGGGGGGGAACTTGCAAGAATCCCGCTACTCTCCCTCTATTTGTTTTTTTAAGACATAGTTTGTGTGTGTGTGTGTCTTTTTTTTTGTTTTTATCTATTTATTATTGATTTGTTTACTTACTTTCTCATATTATGTTTCTCTGTTTATTTGTTATAAACTTGCATGTATATATATATATACACAATACATTCAAGTATGAGCAGGAGACATGGTGACATGTTCTTTTAAGGGCAGTGGGGGGGGGGAGACGCGAAGTTTCCAACAATTACGATGGTTTTGTGGATGTTGGCTGGAGAAAGGGAATTTCGCCCAAAGCCCTGCCACTCCAGCCTAAAGGTGTTTGCTTTTTGCATGCGCCGAGGCATGCGAGTGCGGACCAGTTCGAGAAGTTCTGGGCGGAGGAAGTTCAGGCGTGGCAGGGATTGCTGCAGGTTCTTCCCCCACCTCCCGCAAATGTCCAGTTGCTCCGGCGATGTTTTTTGACCCGGGCTCATCGCTTACGGATGGCACGAGTGTTGACGCATGTCCATGGGTTTTGGAAGGCGCTTTGTGGGGTGTACATGTCCCAACTTGGGCCAGAGGTTTCTCCCCTGAGCCATGAGGTGACCTTGGCCTGGTCACTATGTTATTGGGTCCCTAAAATTTTCGAAGGGTTCATGGACTATTCCTGCGCAAAATGGATCATTTCTCCAAAATGGACGGATGCTTTTATCTTCCGTGCGTTGGCGTCTGAGGCTGTCGGGGCTGAGAAAGCCAACATCGCCGGTCCCCTAGGTGGATTCGCTGGGCCCTGCTTGCCTGTGGCCAGCCAAGCCTATCGCAAGCCTGACGCGAGGAATGGTTTCATCAGGCCTTGTTGTGATTTGATTATGGAACCCTCCTCCAGCACTGAGCCCTCGCCTCAAGGGCAAAGGGCGACGCGCACGAGGCAAATGCGATCATAAAGATGTGGCCCAGACCAAAACTGCCGCCCTGGCATGTTTAAGGGACCCTGCTTGGAATGGCTTGAGGCACAGAGTTGGACTTTGTTCGAAAGTCTAAAGCAAGGGATCCCCCAGTCGGAACCCTTGGGTTGTCAGCTCCCATTGGACTCGACAAACATCAGGCAGATCCCGTCCGTGCCCCGTGCCCAGACAACTGATGGGCACACGCTCAGGGCTCAGGGGCCACGTGATCGGGTCCATAGACCGGTGGGGCCTCCCAGCCAGCCCAGCCGCCAGGATGATGGGTGCGCTGGCTTATGGGAGCCAGGTGCTGTGCCTGCCTCGGACCGGCCCTGGGCCCCTAGCGGTTTCCAGGTTGCGTGTTTGCGACTTTGCGCGCGTTTGCGCGCGTTTGCGCGCAAGCTACAGCTCAGGCTTTCAGTTGTTTGCAACATTTTGCAAGAGAACGAGAACGCCATGGCAAACTAGGGGCGTTTTCTTGTGCCGACCGTTCAGCATGTAGGGAAACTGCATCTCGGAGAGAGGCGCAACCGGCGTGAGGCTGGGACAGCTCTACTCGGTGTACCTTGTGCGGATAGTGTGGGGCTTAACGTGACAGCCGGGGCATCGATATTTTTGTCTCCGTGGCTTGACCTTCCCCATTTCTGAGACTTTTGGATAATTTTAGACTTTCCACACAAAGTGCTTAGAGAGTTCAACTTCCGCGGGGTCGAAGACTGACCCAAAAGCAGACCTTTTGGTTTCCCCAGTCTTGGCCCATGTGCTGCAAGAAGCTTGTCGGTGATTCACCCAGCTGGTGAAGCTTTTCCAAATTATTTGATGCCTTCGCAGCCACCCGAGCATTGCCACAATGGACACACATTGGCAAGTCGGCGCCGTTGAAATCGCCTTCGCTGAGTCGCTGATGCACTTCTTTAAGCTGCAGGCGGGGCAAGCGCTGGCTCTCGTGCGCATTCCCGGAGCGCTCAGATGGGGTGTCTAAATGGGGGACCCTGTATTGGCTTTCCTATTTACACCCTAAACAGAGCACCCTCAAAAACAACACACACACCCACACAGACGGGCTTGGCTCCAAATGACGGATTCTGGTTGACAAGTTCAAGTGAGCACATGTCAGTTTGCTTCCTATAGTCGAAGCTTTCTTTAAATGATCTTAAATGGCATCCCTTTGGTTTCCCTCTTCACGGCAAACAAAGGGGGCCCAATCTGGGGCATCCCACATCCTTCAGTCTTGCAGTTTTGGGCTTGTGAGGGGCTAGGGGAGGTTTTGATAGAGCCTGCTTAGAAAGCCAGCCGACGACCTTTTGATCTTTTTGTTTCCTTGATTTGGTCCATGTTTAGTCAAGGCTCCAAAAGGTTAGCCAAATGCCAGCAGGACAATGTGGATTTGTGGGCCATCCTGGCAGATATTGCAACTCACGAAAGCTGCGGTGCAGGCGTGGGTCAATGAGCATCCATATGAGGCGGGCGCGATGTGTCTATAGAGCAAGCCTTGAGTGGTATCCATGTTCTTGCACCGGCAGAACACGCTTTGGGAGCTCGTTTTAGAAGTGGTAAGCCTACTAGAAAGCAGACTTTTGCCCATGGTCGGCCAAAATCGCATGCGTTGAGCTAACATCTGGCTTCGCAAGGAGCGCAACATGACCAACCAGATCCTGGCGAGGGCCCCAGGACTCGCTCATGCGGTTGGTGCCCATGACAGCCTCGCAGAGGACTGTGGGGTGGGGGTGTCTAAAGCTCTAATTTGCTGCAGGTGGCGATCTTCGCCTTCACCCTCTACCCGCTCTTCAACATTTTCATCGCATCCGCGGGGCTGCCCAACGCCGAACGCCCCGCAGGGCTCTCGAGAGCTTGTCAAAGGGCCGACCCTGATCAGGCCCGACCCAAAAGAAAAGAATCCTTCGCCCCAGTGGATGGATTGGTATCGGCCTTCTCCCTTACTGGCTCACGCTTACACATACAAAACCCCAGCCAACGCTGAGATGTTGTTCTGGACAGGGGTGGCTCACGCAACAAATTATGAAAGTTCTTGACTCTGTCTTCTACATGCCTCCGTTGATGCCGAAGCCTGTTCAGCTCGCCAAGTTGAGCATGGGGGGGGGGGTCAAGACTTGCCATGTTGGGCTTTGCCGCCTTGGCAACCCCCTACAGGATTTGACTGGGAGGGGCTGTCTCCGTAGACATAACTAGCTTGCTGACATTTTTTAGCTTCCTTAATGGAGCCCCCTCAGAAACGCGACGGATCTGATCACGCCTTCTTCTGCTCGCTCCACCTGGAAGAGTCGCTCGTGGGCCTTCCACAGTGACGCGAGTTTTAGCAGTTGCATGGGTTTTGTAGTCCACGGCGCCTAGCGGCAATGCAGAATCCTTTCCTCGCTCGATCTAAATGTTTCCCATGAGGAGAGAATAGCGCGTATCAGCGCTTCAATCAAACAAACGCCTCTATATATATATATATATACACGTATAACCCAGCTTCAGATTGACCCAGCCAAGCATGCATCTTCCGCGTCCTTGCTTCGGCCGTCATTCTTGAGAAATTGGAGAGTTCATTTCAGGGATTTCTGGCTGTTTCCCACTCTCGGCCCACCCGTCGCTCGCGGTTGTCGGCTGGGGCAGAAGCTGGATAGCTTCGTTTGCACATGGATAACAATTTCATGGGGAAAGAAACAGCTCAAACAAGACAATATGTTCATTCAATTCCATTATCTTAAGTTTCGAGGAGAACATTTGGGTCTTTGTATCTTGCAAAGCTCACTTTTCTGCAATGCATTCCACGGAGCCCGCTCCAAAGCATCCCATCCGTTTGCCTGTGGTCGTCTCACTAGTCAGTAGGCAGAAGGTTTGCAAAGGCAGCTATCTTGTGAATCTTTTGCTTGGCAGGTAACAAACTCGATCAACACTCAGTTGGCCGGGCACTCGAGCACTCGGGCCTCATTGCACGCAGGTATTGAGGGCGTGGTTTGTCGGACATTTTGGCTCTTTACAATCCTTTCAAATACCAGCACCAGGTGCCCTCTCCAGTTTCAAGGTTCCAGTAATCCAACATGACACGCACCAGTACTCAGCTCCTTTGGGGGTTGCACGGGGTCGCACCCTTGGGCAAACCTCCCCATTGCGTCGGGCAAAAGCGTCGACCCAACCAATGACCCACTGAGCTGGCTGTGCATGACCTGCCCGCGCCGGACCGTTTGACTGGAAGCTGAGAGGGAGCACGAGCCCAACAACAGCGACACCATGGCTGAGGCGGATTAAGTGATCGCCCTGTGCCCAGGATCAGCGGCTGTGCGGTGGCATCGCGGCGCGGATCTCGGGCGCCGAAGTGAGGGGTCGAAGGCGTCGGACGAAGCGCCGAAGCGCAGGTGGCGCTTTTCCGGAAGGCCGAGCGCCTGCCGTCGCCCGGGGCCCCAAGAGGTCTGGACTTGGGCTCCGGGACGCTTGGGAATGGCTTCGGTCGGTGGCGACTTTCTTTGGCCCGAGTCCAAGTGCAAATCAGGCTTCAAAAGGACGGCCATTTTATTGTTACTTCGTTTGGGGCAACAAAAAAAGAACTGGTTGGGGTCGAACAGCTGTCAATATGGACTGTATCTTGTGGATGTTCCTGCAATATTTGGAATTATCGCCCAACCACGCTGGAAGAAGTGCTGCCCAAATAAAGGGACCTGCATGGCGAGCTCGTTCTGCCCGCAGGTGAGCTCGCCAGATGGGCAATTCTTGTTTCAACTGGTGATGTTTGGGAATGCTGTGTTTGAGGATATGTTTCTCCCCTGTTGTGGGGTGGGTGGATGGGTGGGTGGGTGGGTGGGTGGGTGGGTGGGTGGGTGGGTGGGTGGGTGGGTGGGTGGGTGGGTGGGTGGGTGGGTCGGTGGGTGAGTGGGTGGCTTCCGGTTGTTCTGATGGGAAATCAGCGAGACAGCAACCAAAGGACTTGTTATTTGCTTTGGACTGTGGGAGGTTTAAGGGCAAGATGAGTTGAAACGATGTCGAGCCTTCTTCTTCAGGGCTTTGTCTTCTTTGGAGTGAACAATTGAACAAGAGGAGTTCGACGATTCAATCGGGTATCTCCACTTCTCTGATGTAGGGACCCCCAAATCTTTTCGCTCTCATCTTGGTGCTTTGCAAGCAGCACCACCCAAGGCGTAGTCCCCCTTTTGAGAAAAGCAATCATATCCGTGCGAGGTTGCGTCGCCATGGTGGTGCTGGTCGGTGGTGGTGGTGATTGGCGGCGGTGGCGGTGGCGGTGGCGGTGGTGGTGGTTTGTTGTGGCGGGTGGTGATGGTGGTGGGGTGGCGGCGGCGGCGGCGGTAGTGTTCGTCCTCGTCGCTGTTGTCGTCCGTCGTCATGCACTTGTCGCTGGGTCCCAGCCCAGGACCAGTGGGACCGAGCGCTCGACGCCAGGCAGGATTCGGAAGCCCAGCTCAAGGAACAGCTCCCATTAGCGCACTGTTGCCAGGCAGAACTGATACTTTTGTCGTCAGCTGTTGCATGTTGTGCAACAAGCTTCTACCGAGGGGGGGGAAGGGACGAGTTTGGTTTCACCCACGTGCGCGCACACAAACACAAACACGAAGTCACAAGCAAAAGAAACAGAATAACTACAACAACGACGCAGTGGCGGGCCACGCTTTGGATGCTTTGGCATGCTGCCAGATCAGTTGCGCCGGCAAGGCCAATTGCCAAGGGGCAAGCCCGGCTTGCAGGAAACAGCACCAACTCCAACGTATGGCCACAGAGCATGGCACAATGGGATGGGGCCGCCCCCCCACCCCCTCCAGAATGAACCTCTGCAGGAGCCTCCGAGGGCGAGCCGGCCAAGGCGGACCTGCAGACGCTGGGCTCCCGAGTCGCATGGCCTCGTGACTCGTATGGGGGGCCTCAAATCTTTTCAGCGGCCGGAGCCTGGCTGTGTTTTTCCCCCCCCCCCCCCTTCCCCTTTTTTTTCTTCTTTTTTTCGTGCACCCCTCTGCCCTGCTTCTGGGTCCAGGGTCTGGGTGCGTAGCTCTAACCAGAGGCTCCTCAACCACGACGTCCTCACTGCCCTGATTGGGTCCTTCGAGTCGTCGGGCGCTCAATCTACAGATGGGCATGCACATCAAATTGCAGAGCCCTTCAAATGGTTTGTCGTCCCGCCCCCCTTGAACACAATCACATAGGACCCAGACGTACATATCAGATGATCAAAGGGCAATTTCTTTGGGCACTGTATTGTTTTGTTTCGTGCGAGTGGGCTTTCCTGATGGTCCGGGCTTTTGACACCCACACGTCCGAGTCACAATGTTATGATGTTCAAAAGGAGTAGAAGATGGGCGATATATGATATGGAATGTGTTGGACAAGGATGGACAGGGGCAAGGGATTTCTGGTTTCACTGCCAAGACAAGGCAAAGGTGTTCTGATGCGTCTTAGAAAGAACATATGATGCATGATGTGCCTTCCATATGCACTGCACACCCATGCACGGGGGTGGATCTAGATTTATGATTTTGTTTCTCCTGGGCTTTTGCAGTCCAAATCCTTTTCTGCTGAGGGCATGCTTGGCTACCAGCTCTCTGGCGCAGGGACCCCAGCCGCAGATGTGGCCGAGCCGCTCATGGCCAGCCGCGGTATTCTGTAGCCAGCGTAGCCGGCATTCCCCAGATGGGAGCCTCTGGGAATGGTGGGCCCATTTTTGGTGGGCTCCCATCCGTTTTCAAAGGAAGCAAGCAGCCAGCGAATTTGGGACCCTTGATCCTCGCACCGCCAGGATGATCACTTCACGTTATGCCAAAAGGTGAATGTTCGGAAGGATTCATGGCCGTTCCGATGCGAAATGCGATGGGAACGATGGGATTTGCGATGCTTTTCTATGTTATGTTTCAGCCAAAGGAAAGGGAAGCTTCTGCTGTTGACCCTTTTACCCCAGGGACCACTGTGGGGAGGGTGAAGAGCATGTGGCTTGGATAGCTTCCTTGTGAAGGTTCCATGGAGGGACAGCTGCCCCAATTTTTTGGTTGGTCCGGCAAGGTTGGTCCAAGCAGACGCCACAGACATCTTGAAACCCACATGAGTCGGCATCCGCTGACTGGAACCCTGTGTTGGGGGCCTGTTCAGGGTCTGAGCAAAGCCCCCAAGCGCATTTTGGCCCTGAGGTCTTTGTTTGTCCTCTTCGTCATGATGGCCACGCAGCTGCGCCCGGCAACCTATTCTGGCGCTTTGGGGTCGTGGGCAAAATTGGTTCAAAGGACCCAGAGAAAGGGAGGGCCTCCGGAGAGTGATTACAAGTTGGAGCGATCGAATCGCTCCCGGGGGTTCCCCTAGCCCTGGGTAAATTGTTTGGCGTTCTCATTCATATGTAGTTAAAGCCACGACCAGGCTCAGGTGTCATGTTGGTCGCCTAGTAGACTATGTATTCAACAGGAGGGGTTGGGTGGGAATCTGTCCAAAGCATGGCGAGGTGAGAAAGCAAGTCCAAATTGGGCTAGCACTTCAGGATCCAAAGGCCACGTAACTTTCCTCCTTGCCTTGCCTGGGATGGCAAGCAATTTTAAGTTCTGTCCCAAAATCATACTGAACGCATGCTCATCACACACTAGCTTCGCTAGATGTTTAATCACAGGTGCCCTGTCCATGGACCTGCGTCCGTATGCAAAGGCGCTGAGTCCTATGTGCCGCCGCACAAAGGAACATGGGGCGCCACTGTGTCCCAAGCGTCGCAGGTCTGGCGACGCTAATGGCCTTCGGCACGGCCATCCCGTGTGTGGGATCCTTAAGCTGGAGAGATGGGTTGCATCCAGCAGTGAGATGGTGACTTTCTGGAGTTTCTCCGCACCTCTGCAACATCCCCGAATTTTTGGGTTCCATGGACTTGGGTTCAGGCAGCCAAGCTGCAAGAAGATCTCTGGATCATGGCAGGAAGCTACACGAAGAGACTCTGTTCCAATAAGAGCTGGGCCAGCTTTCTTGGTAGCCCTCGCATTCCCTGGATTTCCCCGTGCGCTTCTTTCTTACATGGCCATGCGGCATAACCTATGGCTCCATTTTGGGGTGGATGAACATCCATTTGCCACCTATCTTGATGTTTACCAGGGGTACAGGGTTTTGACCCACAGACACATCGCCTTTTGGGCAACTTGAAAAAAGTTGCCCCTGGGGACGTTTCATGTCAAAGCGCGCACTCGCCTTCGCCTAGCTCGTGGGCGCCGTGATCTTGGGGGACCAGATCGGCAAGTGCATGCTCACCCTGCAGGAGCGTCCGGGGCCCCAAGATGCCCACGAGCCAAGCGCCAGGGAGAAAGCGGGGTGAAGCCGCGTTCACCCCCCCCGGTTTTCGGGGCTGGCGGATGGGCAACCCTCCTAACATGCTTCACATGTCTGGTAATTCGGTGGTGCTTTCAAGGCAGGACGCGCACAAAATGCCCTCGCTGTTAAAAGGGCAGCGCTTCATATCCCAGCAGTACACGTATTTTCCCTCCCTCCAGTGCTGCCCGTGGTCACTCGCCTTGCCAAGCTCGGAAGACACTCTCCCAGGTTCTGACAGGCGTGTGGTGACCTTGAGGGAGGTGCTTTTTGGTGCGCGGCTGCCTGGGGGAATGGGAGAGTCTTCCGGAGACTCATGTTGGCCGTGGCAGCGGCGCCGCTGGCTTGCTCAACTTCAACTCTTGAGATGCAGTGGGTGCTTCCATTAACCTGGCCATACCGTCCAAATTGCAACGAATTCAGGCGGTGAAACAAGCATTGATCAGGGTTTCCGCTGGCCCTAAGCCACTGCCCGCAAGGGAACCCTAGGTTGTACTACTTTGTAGTGGCATGTGGTCGCTACAAACTTGTGAAGTGCAGTGTTTCCAAGGGTCGAGATGTGGGGGAGGGGTTACTGGAACCCACGAAGAAAGTCCCCTTCTCGGGATTTCCTGTCAGACTCCATGAGCGGGTAGGGCAAGCTGGGGCTGACTCGAGGGCCGACGGGTGCTCAGGTCCGCGTGGTCAAGTGCTACGGCTGGGAGGCGGCAGCACCGAATTTCAAGAATTCGCAGCGCCCCTTGCCAGACTTCGCTTGCCTTCCAGCCAGCCAAGGGCAAAACTCAACATAAGATGCGAGATTCCTGGCGCTAGCGGCAAAAGCCTTTGAAACAACCCCAAGTCGTTCAAGCTGGCGATTTGAGCACATTTCCTGGCGAATGTGCGCAAATGAGCAGGGGGTGTTGTGGATTGGGCCAATCAACTCAGGTCAGCCCCAACTCCCTCTCTCTCTCTCCTCCTCGCTGGCTGTGGCACGCTTGCCGAAGCTCTGCCTGAAAGTCGTGCGGAGCAGTCTATATTCACCAAGCGGATGTGGCACAATCACAAGCTGAACGCCTGGGACTTGGGGCCTTGAAGGGCCTAGCCTTTTGGCTTTTGGGCTCAACAGGCCCCTCTTGCCCGCAGTGGGTTTGCGCAGTCCCCTTGCTGGTGGATTTTTAGGCGCTGGGTTTTCATTATGACTCATTCTTGTCCCCCGTTTTCCATCTTGGGCTTGGCCAGCGTTTTGACCTAGTGGTATCCCTTGTTGTTGGCTCCCGTTTATCGAGAGATCGCCGTTTCCTTGGATAGTATTTTTCCTCGGGAGTTGGGTCGGCCCCTTTGATAGGCCTTGTTTGGGCAAACATGTTTTTGGAGTTGTATATTTCTTTGGGTTTTGGATTTGGGGTCCATTTCTTGAATTCGTCACTTTCTTGGGCAGGCAGTGTTGAAAGGCTTCGATTTTAAGCTCCACATATTTGTGTCGTGGGTCCCTTTGGCGTCCCTTTCCCTTGTTCTAGTGGTTGATTCCCCATTCTTTTCAACCATCGTTCTTTTCAAAAACCGGATCTGTTTCCCCTACGTTTTCGAGGGTTTCCTCAAAAGAAGGATCCCTGCAAAGAATGGGGAAGGTACCCCTAGAACTAAACATGGTTTCCCGATTTTGCTTTGGTCTCCCTTGGGGCCCTCGGAGAAAAGCAAAAGGTACCCCTTCCCCTTGTGGGTGCCCAGTCTTTTTTTTTCCGGTTTCCTCTGGGATTCGTCGATCAGATTGCCATGGAGCAGAAGCTGTCGGAGCTGCGGAAGAACGAGGTGGAGGGCCTGAGGCGCTTGAGACGTCTCACGGTTGTGGGGCCAAAAGGATCCCAAATGGGCCTGCCTCACAATAGAGGGGTCTTTGGGGTGGCTAATGGAAGTCAACAGGGAAACAAACCAGTTTTTTTGGGGGGGATCACCTATTTTAAGATGCCCCCTCATGATTCAACTCAGAATTGCCCCTCCCCAAGGACCGGCCGGTTGATTCCTGACTGCCAATGAGTCGGGGTGATTTTTCAAATGCGATTTCTTTGGGTGGTGTACTGGCACTTCGGGGAGAATGCGCACGGACAGTCAGTCTGTACTGAAAACCTCGCTTGCAGGACTTACTGGAACTGCACTTGTGCGGCAGCCTCGGGAATGGGGGATAGGCCTGGCTTCTGCTGCGGGTGTAACACCCCACACTGCTTGGGCCCAGGGTAGCTTTGTGGTTTTGAATTGACATGCGTGCGCTTGACCCCCTTGTAGTGTGCAGCCGCGAGCTTGGCGAAAGGATTGGTGAGGGCACACCAACTTTTGTTTGGAGTTGTTGGAAGTGGGTTGGTCGTTTTACAAATGTCGAACCCTGCCCGGCCCTGCGCTTGCGTGTTCTCAGGTGGCAGGCAACCAGGCATGCCCCAGGTTCCAAAAAGACATGTTATCAACTGGGTGTCCGACTTGTAAAGTCAAGGGTTTTCAGCTTGGGTACCCCTTCCGAAATTGTTCTGAAGGAAGCCACAGGGAAATCCTTCAGAGATGGCGCTTGCCTTGTCAAGCAGGTTGCACTACCCTCGGAGAAACCGCCGCAAATGTGGCCAGGCAAATCAAGTATACCCAGTTGTTCCCAACTTGCAAAGGCCAACCTCAAGGTGTCCCAGGTTCACTGGATGCGAGGGGGTCGAGCTGGGGGAAGGGAAGAGCTGCAGTTTGTCAGTTCCTGACCTCGCTGCTGCTGCTTTTCCCGCGCCTTCTGATCTGGCCGGAAGCTTGAGCCTGACCGAAGGGGGATGGAAAGCCAGAGGGGCGTTTGTTGAGTGACTCTGCCCCAAAAAGAAGCCTGAAGTACTGCCTGTAGATTGGTTCGGTTACGGCCCCCGTTGTTTTTAAGAAAGCCCAAACCGCCGTCACTGTGGACAAGTCTGGGAAAGCGACCAACTTTTTCCATGATCAAGGTTCCTTGTCAATGTGAGGAATCCCAGAGTAGTTGATCAGGGGCACAAGCCCATAGAAGAACAACATCCCCGCTGAACCCGCGTGGATCAATGTACTTTGAGCTGACCACGCCTTCAAGAAATCCATTGAACCAACCATTTCTCCATACTCGCTAGTGGCTAGGAGTGCCACCCGACTCCCTTCCGTCAATGCTGGTCGCAAGTTGCCGTGAGCGGCATTTTGCTCAGTTGGTCCATGCCTTTTGCCTGCCTGTTCAAGCCCACAGCAGCCGCCATTTTGCTTGAACCGCATGAAATGCGATGAAGCCGGTGCATTGCAAGTAGGGAGCAGGAGCTTTCTTCTTTGTTCTCCACGCATTCTTCGGCATTCTAAGCCAAAAGGTGTTGCAGACACGAGGCCGCCGTTTTGCGGACCAAGCCATTGCTCAGAGCGAGACCTGTCTCCGAGGGCCGGGCTTGTGGGCTATGCCGCCATCTACGGAGCTCACGACGTGCCCTGGGAAGAGGGCAGCATTTGGTGCTCTAGGAGGGAAGTTCCCACGAGGTTGTTTAATAGTCTGGGGGGGGGGGACACATCCAAACTTCTTGCGGGCTTCAGCCGGAGCGCGGGCATGTCACTTGGCGAGCAGCAAAGTGGCGAAACAAAAACACAAACTACCGCTGCCCTATGGGCAAAATGGCTCCATCACCATATCAAAGTGGGCACGTGGGCCAACTTTGTCCTCCATCAGGTTTTTGTGGTGATATTATCGGGGTGTTCACAATCCACTGCCGCGCCTGAATTGAAATCAGCCCTGAGGTGGCCACAATTTTCACCAGCCTCCAGATTCTGCGCTTACCTCGGGCATGTGCGGATCTGGCGAAGTCAGCTGGCAGGGTAGGCCGATTTGGTTCTATGCGTTGAGTAGAGAAAGCAAAGGTTGGCTCCTGAGCAACGAGGCAAAACACGCCTATTTCAGTCCTTAAGGTATCTGAAAACCCGGCACCATAGCCCCGAGGCTTGTGGCTAGCTGGCAACCACGCCACCCCCAAAGCATCCTTAATTTCATCACCCCAAAACCAGTTTGCAATTCTTTGGAAGCTGAGTTGTGTGGGTGTTGTTGCAGAGAAGAAAAAGCGAGACCACCCCCCCAGTGTCAGGTTTCCATGACTCAGTTGCTCTAAGGGCCTGCCTCCGTGGCTCTTGCGAGATCCTGGCGCAGAGCCGGGACCCTTGATCATCCGTAACCCCCCCCCCCCCTCGAAGGAGCTGGGCGGTATGTTTCTCATGTGTGGAGGGTTGGTCATTGGAATTCTTTTGGAATCCTTGACTTTGCGCGCTTTGTATTTCTTGGGTTTGGTTGGGTTTCTTTCTGTTCAGCCGTCAAACCTTCAGCTTGTGTTGATACGTCCCTTCGTGCAACTTCGGCAAGGGACGAGTGAAGGCATTCTTGGTCTTGGCCTAGCGACGGCAAAGTCTGGGCCCAAACCCGCCGACGCTTTCCTGCCGCCGGCTCAGGCCTTGCGCGTGTTTCAGCCATCTCGCCCAAGCCTCAGAGTGAGAGTGGGGGTGGCAAGTTTGCGGTGGGCGCCTGGCGGGGCGAAGGGGGGGGAGGAAGAGAGGGAGAGAGAGAGAGAGAGAAAGTGCAAGTTCATAGGGGGTCCCCCCAAAAGCGATTTTTTTTGTGCATAAAAGTATCACTTGATTAGTTGTTGATATTCAGGCGGAATGGAGCCAGGGGTAGGTGCGGCACGCTTTGACACTCGGCCGGTTGAGGATTTGATTCCCCTACATACCTTTGCACCCAAAACTGTAAACCCACTTTAAGCCAATGCCAAACCCTATCCGAGTCCCAAACACCCTTCAAAGACCCAAAGCAGGCCAGCTGCAACCTGTGGCTTGCAAGTCAACTGCAGCACTTCTATTGATTGATCCCCCATTCCTTGCACCCATTGTTCTTGTCAAACAATCTCAGCCAATCGCCGGTTTCCTTGCGCGCCTTCAAGCTCTTGTGTGTCCAGCACCCGCGTTGGCGGGGTGCCCTCCACCAAGCAAAGAGACGCCAACCGCCCGTAGGCCCAGCTTGACGCGGGTCCAGTCCTTCCTGAAGCTCCCAGAAGCGCACGGGCCTCATGGAAGTGGCCCAAGGGGGAGGTTGCGAGATGTTGCGAGCCTGGTGCCCCCCCCCCCCCCCCCGAAAATCAAAGGAAAAGGGACCTCTGTGATTCGCTAGCAGAGGGCTGATTCATTGCAAGCCCATCTCGAACACTATCGCTACAACATTAGCCCATTCGGCCAGCCACTTGGTCAGACGAGCTTAACTCTTGGCAATTGATTCTCCTCAATTGGGAGGGACGACTCTTCAACATGCAGGACGTGGGTTTGGGTAACCCCGGCAAGAAATGACTGAACACAGCAGACACAACAAGTATCCTTATGTTAAGAAAACAGCGTGCGATCGTGGGCAGGCTTTGAAGTTCAGCCCTGCGTTTCTACTAAGCATGAGATCCAATCCCATCGAGCTTACGATTGCCAGCGGCAAAACTCTTTGCCGAAATGACTGGCGGAAATATTTGAAGTACTAGGCATGCACTGGTGTCCAAGAAGACGCAAATGTAGAACCAAGAAGCCGTTCCCCTTGCGGCTTCAATCCCTTGTTGGGGGCCGCCTTGGGACGAAGGTATTTCAGCATAGCAGAACAGATGAGGGTTCGCGGTTGGTTTCATTGCAGTTGCCCCCCACACCCGAAACCTGCCATGGATCTCGCCGGGTTGCGTGTAGCAAGCTGCCCTTCACAAGCTCAGAGCACACGTGTTTCGATTGCCTGCCATGGCGTTGCATATCGCATATGTGCACTACTGCACTATACTGCACCATTGTTTGTGTTTTCGGGTCACCCCGAAGCCAGTGACCTCTCCCCGGATCTGGCCTCAGGCCCGCCATCCAGCAGGGAGGGGGACAGCCAGCCTGGCTGCAGTACTGGCCAGTGGAAGGAGGCAGGGGTTGCAAGGTCGCAGGGGCAAAGGCCGTTTGGAACCCTGTCACAAAGAGTGCCTTGAGTGAATGGCCACAGCCACGCATGGGTTTTGCCTGGGTGTCGGCTGAGTGAACGATCAAAACGGGGGGCCCTTCCAAATGGTTCATGCTCGAGGGGCCCATTTGGAGGGCGACATTTTGAATCCAGGCGACTTCATCAAGGTTCAGGGCACCTATCGCTGGAGCGCGGTGCCTGAGGGTTGTGTCTGGGGCGCGACTTTGCCCATCTTTGCCCCCACTCAGACGCAAAGTATCGCAAAGTCTTCAAACGTCGGGTCCCGAATCTGGGAAACATAGCTTTGGCCGTTCCAACTTCCAACAGATCAGCCGGGCCACCGGGGCACTGAAGCAGGGGCAGCCACAAGGATTTGCAGCAGTTTGTTTTGGATCCAACAAGTGACACTTGCGCTCCCGGCAATCGAGGCAGCGATCCCGCAGTTCCTCCTGCCATTCGCAACGTGCAGTTGCAGATCCCTTGCCGCTTGGCGTGAAGGTCCTGCACTTCGGTGGCCCAAGAGCAGACAGAAGAGGAAACTAGTAGCTTCGAGCCGAGTTTCCCACACAGACCTCAGTGCCTGAGCGTGTCCCCCAGATATATCTTCTCGGATCCAAGGTTTCTCCTAAGATTCGTGCGAGTGTTGTTTCAGGCCGTAGCTTTTGCCTGCCTCAGCTTAGGACGCAAGTCGCGGCCTGGCCCCATGCGAATGAACGTTACTTTGACTATGCGAAGGGGTGTTGCTCTTGAAGAACCCGGTTCCCGTAGCTTTCAGATCGGAGACTTGCTGGCTGGCAGCCCCAGCTGGACACCTGGAAATCGTTACACGGCTTGATGCTGCCTCCTGCCTTGGACTTGCCTCTGCACCAAGCATTCGGCTGGATCAAACACGACTTGCTCCATGCAAGCCTACTGCCAAGGCTCAGCAACCATGAACCAAAATCGAGGATCATCTTTTGGAGGTTCCTTGAACTGGAAAGCCAAAGCAAACCAAGCAATCTTAGTGCCCCCCGCCCATTTTCTGGGACACCCGATGATGCGATGGCACATGAGGTGGGGAGTTGGTGGCAATCGTGGGGACGGTGGGCTCGGGCAAGAGCGCTCTACTGCAGGCGGCTTTTGGGGGGGGGGGGGTGCAGCTCTTGGCTTGCAGAAACTACGGGCCCGAAGGGGTTCTTTTTTGTCGCCCCCCTCGAAAACACTCAGAGTGTTCGTTCGGATATTATTTGCGGTGGGCAGTTACCGCCAGTTCCCGAAATGTCCCCCATGGCTCACCTGGGACCTGAGAAGCCGAGTCCTTGAGGACTTGATTCGGGTCGAAGAAAAGCTGCCCCGCCCACTTGGGACACTCAAGGGTTGAGGTTTCCCTGTTTCAAGCGCCCTTTGGGCTGGTTTCATCTTCCATGAAATTTGCCAATACCCATGGGCTTCCCAGTCTTTTCAGGCGTTGGCACTGGGAAGCTGTGACAGGCCTGCAGATGGGTTTTCGGGCGCGAGTCTTTACTTTTTCGCGCAGGCCATCTTAGGGGAGCTGCAGCCGGACGAGAGCTCTGAGAAGGCCTTCATCAGCCAGGGCCCCGGACAGGTGGGACGGGGACCTCTTGGTCTTGGTGACCGAATCTTCGGACTCAACTTGGAATTGACTGGAAGCGGAGAAAAAAAAGGGGGTGGGTCCACGAATGTGAAGCTAGCATTGCTAGCATTGGTGACATTTCCTTTAACAACAAAACAAAACCAGTCAACCCGGTCTGCTTGGGGGAAGGTGGGGATACGTTCAATCCGACCAAAGGAGTCGTTTCGGTTGGCAATTGGTTGGGAACGCTCCAATTGACAATTGGGGATGGATAAGTTGGCTCAAGCTGCAGGTTATTCAAGCGCGACAGAGATCACACATGTGGCTTGCAATGCTTGACCAAGCCTTGGGAGCTTTGCGTCATGTCTGTTTACACCACATGCTTGTTGCTCCGGCCAGCCTGCATAGGCTGCTTGTGTATTAGCCCACGCGGGCTGCAGGGCTTGACCCCCTCAAGTGAACATGGGCAGGCGGCAACGGGTGCATGGTAGCATTGTGGATTTTTTCCCCTCCCCCTTTCAGGCAGACCCAAGACCGTGGCATATTGCTCGCAGGCGGGATGTCCAGAGAGCACACATGGCACCGTTTTTGCAGCGGCAAGACCCCTGACCAGTGACACTGGCCTTTGTTTAGTTTACATTGGTTTGGTGATGGTTGCTGCACATTCACTGGTCCTGGGCCATAGGAAGTGAGAAGCCAGCAGCACATGTCTTTGAAAGTTTCCGGTGTGGAGTTGCCTGTGGCGCTGGCTAGATCCCGCACATTGCGGAGGGCACGCTGAAGGACCCGCCATATCACTTGTTTATGCGCTCACCCCTGGGTGGTTGGTGAATGACTCGGCAGCGAGGAGGTCCAAATTCCAACCCCCCAGCATTTATCCCATCGAAATCACCTACGGATTCATATCCCGATTTACATTTTCACGACAGTACGCGAGTGGCGTGCCAACAAACCGCTCAGGCTTTTGCCATGCCTTTGTGTTGGTCAAGACTTTGTACCTCAAGGCTTTGCGGGTCAGCCACGGTTGCGCTTTTGAAGTCTCAGCCCCGGAGAAATTCAATATTTTTTCGAGGAACTTAAGGGATGCTCGAAGAAGCATTGGAACAGTCTAGATGCAGCCAGCTGTGAGGCCGGGTGGTCTGCAGAAGTGTGGGGATGAGAAAGAAAGCAAATGGTCCTTGGACCCGACCCGCCAGGAGAATGTGCTGCTGGGGCAAGCCTTCGACCAAAGCCGTTCGCTGCCCAGGATGAAGCCGAGTTCCCTTTGTTGGGCAGTCAGCCTCGCTCGACTGTAGTCTTTCTGCCATTTGTGGAGGCACTGGTCGACGGTGCCCGCAAAAGGGTCCAAAGAATCAGACCCTGGCCAACATTTCTGAAGTCAGCATGAGGGGTCGGGCGGGTTCGACTGGGTGCCTTGGGCCTCGAGGCTATGAGGATTCGCTGCGTGCAGCATCCCTCGGGGAGGACTTGAAGGTGTTGCCGGGCATGGGTGCCCAGGTGGCGTCATGAGGGATGTCTCTCCCGAAGCTATTGCAGGCAGGCGATGTCCGGCCCACCCAAATCGAGGGGATCTCCGGTGGAAGGCTTTTGTCGGCTTTTGTTTGGGCGCGTGGGGCCCCTTCTCTGCTCGCGAAGTATGAGACAAGCCAGGCTTCTCAAGGCCTGTTGTCACGCGCTCACGGGATATGGCTGGTACCATTTTGGGATAGGTGCACCACCCATTTTAGTCTACTTTAGTGGGGATTGGGATGTTTATTGGGGGCCATGGCCATCGGGTGCGACGCTGCGACCGGATCCGAGGTGGCGACCAGGTGCCCGTAGGTGCCCGGGGCATCTCCCTGTCCGGCGGGCAGAAAGCCCGGGCCTGCGCCTCGGGACGTCGGGACGTCGGGACGTCGGGACGGGAGGATGGGTCCCGTCAGCTGGGTCCCGGCGCGCAGCTCTTGTGTGTGTGTGTGTGTGTGTGGGTGGGTGGGTGGGTGGGTGGGTGGGTGCGTGCGTGCGTGGGTGGGTGGGTGGGTGGGTGGGTGGCTGTGTGTGTGTGTGTGTTTTTCTTCCTCGCTTCTCCAAACCGTGGGCTCTGACTCTAAGCTTTTTTGGGCAGATTGTAGTAATAAAACGCCTGGACTTCGGGAAGTGACTTAAAGGAAACAACAAGGACACCAGATGCCCTGGTGCTGCGATTGAATCGCTGCGGCGTGTTACAATGTATGACCGGTTGGCTTTGAATCCTTTGCGGGGTTGCTAGCTCTCCTTTCAAGATAGCCGGTTGCACGAAGTGGGAATGAAGTCCAGATGGGCAAGGCCTCAACCCCCCCCGCCCGCCCCCCTCCCTCACCCCCCCTATAACGGACCCCTGTCCTACGACCCCTAGGGAGTCGCTTCCCCAACCGGCGGAAAGAGAATCCACCAAGGCTTCCCATACCGAAGCCGCTTGGAGCAAACCGCCGGCATCCGGCAAGGTATCGATGGCACGCGCAGCGTACCACATGAACTCTGCGCCGCCAGCTTAACGACCGGCTGGGGGTGGGGGGGGGGGGGTGGGGAAGCCAGAATCCAAGGTCCCACTTGCCCCAAATAGACATGGCATAGGTTCCTGGAGTATGTTCATTTCGTTTATGTAAGTAGGACCGACAGAAGGTTGCCCTGAAGGCGCAAGGAGCGGCTTGCCGGTCGAAGCCGCCCCCGTTTGGAGGCTGGTCCTGATGGATGACCCCTTTGCCTCAGTGGACGCGCCAGGGCCTTGGCCTACTGACCATTCTTCTTGTGTTGGGTAAGGGGGCAGGCCCAAACAAACACTGTGGATGGCTGCGAAACCAATTTCGCACCTAAGAAACCCTGTAATGATGCCCCTTCTGCAAATGCCAGAGACGCAGAGACGCCAATGAGTGCAAAGTGGTGTGAACGGATTTCGTCCCACAGTAACAGTAGCACTCTGTGTGGAATGGCCCCATCCTCAGGCCTACGGCTGGGGTCATCATGGAGAAGCTGCTGGAGGGTCCCCTAATGCAAGGCCTCCGTGGGCTCTTGGCTGGCTTTGGAATGTTCCACATAGCCACCCGAAGTGGTTGAAAAGAAACGCTTCTGCATCCACAGCCAGTTGTTCCATCGGCAACGCGCGTCAGGCATGGTGCTTCGTTTGCCCGACAGTCAAGGAGCTCCAAGGTTCAATTTTGATGACATAGACGAGCTGATGCGAGTTTCAGCGAACAGACGACGCATGAGTCAAGATTCGCGGACCGATTGTTACCCTTCGGCCTCGCATGAGCTCTCTCTCTCTCTCTCTCTCTCTGCCTTTTTCCTCGAAGTCGTCAAGGTGACCTTTAAACCTGCAGAAATTCTGATTGGCCAACATGAGCATTGATCGCTGGGTGCGCCGCCCAGAAAATCACACCGATTCAAATCCGACGGAATGACCTGGCAATAGCGTTGTGCAGCCCCAGATTATCACAGATTGCAGGTCACAACGTCGTCAGCGCTGCGCATATTCTTTTGAACCCCACTAAACACCGGCAGAACTGACTGAGAAACGGGGACGTCCAGGGATGCAAACGAGCCCATCCAACATGCAACTCAGCATGGACTCTCAAGCTGGTTGATGCCTTTTTTTTTTGGGGGGGGGGAGGGGGCAAAGAACACCGCTAAAGAAGTGTTTTGTGCAGTCCGTTTGTGAACTGGCGCTTGGAAAAGGGACTGCTGCACGCTTGTTAAGCGTTTGCAAGGAATCGCAGGAGCTTTGACATCGGCCTGCATCTTCGGTGTTCCGCAAAATCGGGACCCGCCTTTGCGCTTTGAAGGGCCAACCAACCAACCATATGAGTCCGCCCATCCTACACCCAACATGGATCCGGGTGTCAATACCCCGACCATTCTCGCGTGCAGCTGTTGCAGCGAGTCTTTGCGCCAGGTCGAACCTGCGTGGTGGTAGCCGTCTGAGTTCCGACATTTCACTTCGTCCCGGTTGTTCAGTACGGCATCCTTTCTGTTTGGTTCCCCTGAGAATGGTCAGTCAACCCTCGAAAGGGCTACCCTTTCTCTATCGGGGTCATTGGGTTGGGGTTCGGGTGGCCCAATTCTGCGGGGACGGGCCTTTGATTCTTCGATGTTCTTCGGCTGGTGAGGTTCCTGCCTCTAAAGTCTATAGCGGGCCTTAGGCCCGCTCGTTGGGCCAACCGAAATATGCGGGTCTGGAAGAGGCCCTTTCTGCTCATCCACAACCCAAGGTTGGGCATCGGCAAAGCAGCTCGGAATGTTATCAATGGCCTTTCTAGGTGTGGGATTTGGCATCGGAGCACGTACCACATCTAGGGGTAAGATCTTGCCTTCGTGCCTTGACATTCGGGTGGGGGGGGTCCTGCAGATCTCCAAGTCCCACACCTGAAGAAGCGGTTGATGCCAGGCATTTTGTGTCACAATTGATGTCGCCGGCTGGCTGAGACGACCCAGCCTGACAACGAGCGACTCGCCAAGTTCCACAAAGTTGTGGGGCACTGAGGGGGCTCCCGGCGACTCGGGATCGCCGGCCGGAACTGCGCTTGGTTGTCCTTTGGCGGGGCCTTGAACGTTTCAACCTTCTGGTTTGATGCGGTTCGTGGGTGTCATACATTTAGTGGAGCCCGCAGAAACACATGTGGACCTTTCAAACAATGTTCGTTCCACGAACTGCGGGCAGCGACGGCACAGCATCGGAGAGTCGCATGCATGCGTCCTACTGTCGGAGCATTTTGGCTGGTTGAGCGCGACTCTGTGTCCAAGTTGCCCTTCTCCTACGAGCAAAGTCTCAGCTGTTGACTTGGATGGCGGAGCTGAAGCTGTCACGCGATGACAAACCGGAGCGGAAGTGGATTGAGAACCCCTTGACTTGGTGGCAGGGAACGAGCTATGCCTGGAACAGGAAGATCCCGCTATGGACGGGCTCGGGTGAGGCGGAGGGGTTGTCCGAACTCTTCGTGGACAACTTGGGCTCCTTACTGGGTACCACGGGCGCGTGTGTGGGCCACATCGGCTATGGCATCGTTGGCACGCTGGGCGCCTTCACTGCTGTGGCCCTGACCGATGGCTCCACCTACGCCACAGCCGTGGCCCAGGAATGGGAGAAGGTTTACTTCTCGCGAAACATCCCTGGCTGTGCCTTCGCTTTGCTGTTGGGCAACCTCTACTACGCGTGGCAGTGTGGCCGCTTGGGCAACAAGGAAGATCGAACCGACGTCACCGCCCAGCCCTATGGCATCAACACCACGGGCGTCTACATCACGCTCTATGCCATCAACCTGGAGGCGCTGATCTCCGCAGGTTTTCTGTTTCTCCCGGCTGCTGGTGCCACGGACGCCGACATCCGCACGGCCGCAGTCAATGCCGCGGACCATGCCTGGAAGATGTCTGTGGCCGCTAACTTCCTCTTGGGCATTTTTGAGATGCTGGGAGCTTTCTTCGGGGAGTCCATCCGCAAGGCGGCACCTGCGGCTGCGTTCTACGCACCCATGGTTGGCGTGGGTTTCGTGTACCTTGGCTTTGTGCCCATGCTGAACATTGCCGCAGAGCCCATGGTTTGCCTGATCCCGCTCCTCATCGTGTTCAACGGCTTCTTCGGTGGGGTCCGGTACCACATCTTCAGGAAGCTGACTTTCCCCATTGGCCTGCTTGCCATCCTGGCCGCTGCCATTGCAGGATGGTCCGGTGGTTGCGCCCGTGAGGGCGGCACGCTTGGTGCCACGAATTATGGATACACGCTGCAGTACTTTGACTCCACAAAGGTCACTTGCACTGGCACTTCACAGACAGAAGCCCAGCGTGCATGGGACACCTACGCTTTCCAAGACAATGTGCTTTCAGGTGCGGTCTTTGTAGGCCTTGGTGGGTTCTCTGAGATTGGCAGCTTCATCACCACACTGTTCTTGGTGGGTGTGGTGGGCTTCGTGGGGACCATGAGCTGCGTAGAGAGCGCCTCGGCAGCAGGCGACGACTACCCCATGGCAGAGACAATGATTGTGGATGGTTTGGGCACCTGCTTTGGCGCACTCTTCGGATCCTTCTACTCCACCACAGTGTACATCGGGCACCCCATCCACAAGTCCCTCGGCGCAAGGCGTGGCTACAGCCTCTTCAACGGCATCCTCTACTTCATCCTTCTCCTCAGTGGGGTGTTCGCTGCGCTGTACCAGTCCCTGCCCGAATGTGCCAGCGGCGCGATCCTGGTCTTCGTTGGGTTGATCTTGGGCCGCCAGGCATTTGAGGAGACGCCGCCACGTCACTACCCCGCCCTGCTGCTCAGCCTTTTCCCCTACCTCTGCAATTGGGCCAAGCTGAGCAACATGAACGAGGGCATCCAAATGATGGGCCAGGGTGGCGGCATGATGTTCAGCGTGGTGCTCACTTGGCTCTTCTGCCTTTGCATCGACCGGGACTTCACAAAGGCCACCGTGCTCTCCTTCGTGGCCATCTGGCTCTCTCTCTTCGGCTTCTTTGCCAGCCACAACGCGCCTAACGACACTGTTCCCCCGACAAAGGGCAACGAGAAGATCGGCTTCTATGGCAAAGAGGACCACGAGTACAACAACGGATGGCGCTGGGCAGTCTCTTGGAGTGTGGCAACGGTTTTCTTCGCTGCGCACGTTGGCTTGCAGAAGCTGGGGAAGGTTGAGGGCCCGTTCGAGCTCAAAGATGCAGAGGCGAAGGAGGAGACGAAGGAAATTGAGACTTAGGCTCCGCAGCTTGGCGCCCCCCGGTGGAGCTGGGTCTTATGCCTAATCGGAGCATTGGTCATTTTCCAACCCTGTACCCACACTCTTTCGAGAGTCAAGGGCAGGGTCACGCCTTCACGTGCTCTGATCCAAGCCTGTTTTTGCCAGTGCCCTGCCAAGCAGATGCCTGGTCACTTGATTTAATTGAAGACGCCATTGAGATCGCAACATTGAAACATGCGGGCGCTGTATGATCAGGATTGAGATGTTGTTTTTCTTCCGAATGGCACCCGTTCCAGTACATGTTAGATTCCATTCCCCAGCCCGGGGGGGGGGGGGGGGGCGTTGAGGTTGCCTTTGATGCAAGGCTAGGGTGGAGTTACAGGAGATATGCCCGTGATGTTACAAGGAGGTAAGTTGGCATTAAAGCGTGTTTTTGCTTTCCTTCACCTTCCTTCCCTTTCCTCGCTTTGGTAGATCTTTGGTTTATCTTAGATTTTCTTATATTCTAGTGCTTCCTTCATTTTGTTTTTGTCCCACCATGGGTGTAGAAGCACAAGGCTGCCTAAAAAACACACACACACACACACTCCCTTTGGTCCAGGTGCTTATGGCCGAGGGCAAGGCTGGGATGTTCCGTGGAGAAGTTGCCCCGGTTTCATCGGGGATCGTTTCGAGCGGTGACGGTCACAGCGGTGACGATGACGATGCTGCTGCCACTGCTGGTGCTGGTGCCGGTGTCGTGCTGGCGCTGGCGCTCGCGCTGGTGCTGTTGGTGGTGGTGGTGGTGGTGGTGGAGGTGGAGGTGGAGGTGGAGGTGGTGGTGGTGGTGGTGGTGGTGGTGGTGGTGTTGTTGTTTTTGTTGATGACGACGACGACGACGACGATGTTGTTGTTGATGATGATGATGATAATGATGATGATGATGATGATGATGATGATGATGATGATGATGATGATGATGATGATGATGCACTGATGATGCACGGATGCACTGATGCACTGATGCACTTCAGCTCTTTGCCTTCCAGACGGTTGGTCAACATGCCTTGGATAGTGATGGCTCGCCGAAGCTTGCATTTGTTTCACTTGCTTTGACTCGCGGCTTCAAAAACTGAGTCAGAGTCAGAGCATTGATCCTGTCACAGGTTTTCAGTCATCAACACATGTCGCTCTAGATTTCGAGCTTCCCGCGAGTAAGATTGCTTTTGCTCTTAAATTCAAGCAAAGCATGCACTTTGAGCTTGCTTCGATTTTCATGTTTGGGCCTGTCTCCCCTGCCAACCCGGAAGACCGTGGCCACTTCGGTGGCCGACATCGGAGGTTTTTCTGCAGGGCACGCCGGAGGAGATCATGGCCAGCGAGGCTGTGTGTCAAATCCAATGGTACCATTTTGGGGTGGGTGCACCACTCAACTTTGGTGGGGTACGGGGTTTTGACCCATGGCCACATTCCCGCAGAACCATCCGGGCGCCTCTGAAAACACCAGCTTCAGAAGACTCTCGTTTTCGGGGACCCCCTAAGCCACCTTTTGAGATGAGAACACCCTCACATCCAACCGCGAACCTGAGTGGGGTCCAGCAAGACAATTTCCCCCAAGCAGATGGCTGGTGGGCTTCATGTTGGTTGATGGGAGGGTAACTTCTTCATTTTTCAAGACCCTCTAATAAACACTAGGTTGTCGACGCTGCGGACTTGGGCTAGGTATCGGTACCGCACGAGAAAACCAAAACAGCATGGGAGAAGTATCTGAGAAGGTGATGTGTCAGGCTTGTGGTTGAGACGATTTTAATTTGGTAGATGGTACGGCCAGAAGGCCTCCGGCTTCTTCGGTCAACTCTGAGGTTCTCGTTTTTGTTTTCGACTTTTCGGATTTTTCCAGCCCGATTGGCAAATTGGCTAGGTCGGGGGGTCGTTGCAAGGCCTACCAGCAGCTTTTGAGCAGCAAGGAGGGCGAGAGCTTCGGTCAGATGGAGGATGCCCCGCTGGGCGGCCCAGCTGCTTGGGACGATCAGTTGGGTATCGGTATGGGTCAAAATGAATCCACCAGGGAGGCGTTAGTCCTCGTTTCCATTTACCAGGCTTCCATTTTGGGCACCTATTTTTGACCCGCAGCCAGTTTTTCAGTTTTTTCGAGACAGCGACGGGGCACGGAATTAGCCTACCGTTTATTTCGAGAGATGACGGGTGAAGGGGGGGGCCGTGTCGCAGGTTGGGCCCATATTCTGTGCAATGGTTGCACTGGGCATTGCACGGACATTTCAAGGGCAACCTTGTGGCCACCATGGAGCACCTTTGGAGCAGACCTTCAAGTGTTGGGACTCCAAAGGCCATGGGTTGCGATGTCAGGGCCGGCAAGAAGATGCCCCTGGCGCGCAAAGACGCGCAGCGGGGAACCCAGATGCGACCGTCGCACGCTGAAAGCCGCCAATCCATGCCGGCGATTTGAGCCCAGTGGCCCTGGATTCCTTTAACCGGAAGAGCCGACTCTGGTGTGCCCCACGTCAAACAAGGTTTGGTGCGCAGCTGCTCCCTGGAAGCTGCTTTTTCTTTTTGGAATGCCAATAGTGTGCCAGTTCAAGAGTTCTCTAATTTTAGAGTTCCATCATTTCCAAAAAAAGGTGATGCCACCATCATGTGTACATATTTTGCACAGAGTCTTCCTCTTTGGGACAAGGCAAGAAGCTCTGTTTTTCCATTGCCAGGCTCAACTCGCCCTTTGCTCTTCTGCCCTTTTGGGGTGCCGTCATGTTCCCTTTTTTCCAGCGCACCAACACACACCGGAAAAAAAGGAAAACACAAATAATGGAAAAATCGACCACTTTTGCCGGGGGTTCCAAGTCTGCCAAATTCGAGTTGGAAAGGTTTTTAGCTTGCCCCGAGCGAACAAAACCCAGGACCGCCGAGTCGCTGCGCGAAGAGGAGTTCGAGGGCCGGCCATCGGCGCGGGTCTCGGAGCTTTGGGTCGGAAGTCGTGAAACGGGCCGTGTCAAATTTTATTGGAGCCGGACACAAGGAAAAAGGAGCACAAAGACCGCCCCAGAGGGGGGATAAAATCATGTGTTTGGCTTGCTGTCCAGCCAAAGGTCCAGCCGGTTGAATCTCGTGCCTATATGATATGTGGATCCCGTGGATAGAAAGCAACGAGATCAGGTGCGCGTGCCGTGGAGAAAAGGAATCATACACATGGACCCCCCATAACTGAGACTGGGTCGTTTGAGGGGTCCAGATGATGGTGGATCTGGGAATTGCGCAGCTTTCCTTGCACCTTCACCCGGGCCAGCAGCGAGCGCTCCACCACAGCGGGTGGGTTTGTGCGGCCGTGGTGCTTTGTTGGGGGCGCACCTTTTCCTTTTCACTTAAGGGATAGGGACGACCTTTTGACCTTTGGGTGTCTCAGCGGCCCCAAGAGATCGATCCGGCGGGGCTACATGGAACCCCACAAAGGGCTCTGGTCCTCCTTGTGATCCTGGCCCTTTAGGGCAAGTGAGAGATGTTCGCTGCCAATTGGCACTGCGTAGCCTCTCACGCCCGTCCAGCCCAGTCAAGATTGCGGTTTGTTTGCAAGCCTCGCCCGTGCCAAGATCGCCCTCGTGAAGGATTACATTCAGATTGGTCGCTACCGGCACATCCTGACGGCTGGCCAGCCATGCTTTGAGGTCTCTTGTCATGTAAGAATTGTTGCGCTTACATGTCGGGTGCTATTCCGAATTGTGGATGTGAAGCCAGGGCTGGTGCATAACTGGCATTTAGTCGCTTAAAGGCCCTTGACCATGCAGCATGTCGCCAGTCGCTTGCACTCTGCAGACGCGCACTGCGCGAGCGCCAGGCTTGCTTGCTCCTCATGGTGATGATCTACTTTTTCCTTCTTTGCGATCTGGTCGCTGCCTGATCTCTTCCATTTGCCCCACATGATTTGAGCTTTTCTACCGATTTGGGGTGTACGGAATTTCAATTGGCCAGCAACTTAGGGCCATCCCGCTTTGATGGCTGGGTCTAGCGGCTAGCGTCGTAGAGGGGCTCTGCTGAGGTCATCGCCCGGTGGTCCAACGAGCTGTCCATCAACCCTCAGGCAGATGCACTTGGTATGAGCCCAAGTTTAACAGGGCTCCTTAAAAGATACATTTTGCCCATTTGAAACATTGTTTTTTCCACCAACATAAAGGGAAACCGCCATTTACAAGGCAATGCTCAGGTGTATACTGTACGGATCCCTGTTTAATTTGGGCGATTGGTGAGGAACACGGGGACTCCCTCCAAATCGGCTGGGCAGAAAGCCCACATGTCAATGATGCCAATTCTGGTGAGTAAGCCGCCTCGCCAGGCGAGCGCCAAGCCCTACCTCTCGGCCTACTTGCCTCAGTCCCGGTGACTCCTCAAAAGGCAAACTTGAGGTTTCTTCCAGGTTTGTCGGAATCAGGAAAGTGCCGGGTGGGGGGGGCGGGCTCGTTAAAAATAGCACAATATCTTTGCAGAGGACCGCAAACAAGGCAGAACTTTGCCTTTTTGTCATGGCATGGCGGCATGCATTTCCATTGCCCACCTCCACCGAGGTTTTGGCTGGGGGCGTCCCTGGTCTTTTGGGTGATGGGCTGGCGGGAGGGCCAGCACCTCGCCAGAAAAGGTTTCGCCGCTTGTAGGGGGTGCGGAGGGGGGGGGGGGCTGGGAGCGGGTTGGGGGACACATTTTCCTCGTTTCACCCACCATTCTGTGGGTGGCGCGCTGCTCACGTGATTGCGTTCTTATCACGATTTTTACACAGTCCTTGTGCGCCTTGAATTGGGTTTTCTCACTTGGCCTCTTTTAGCTGTATAGGTTTCGCCCACGTCGAGGAAGTAAGGGCAGCCCAAAGATTGGTTCTTTATGTTCTTCATCCTTTGTGCAAGCGAATCAGCAGCGCCTTGCAAGTGGGTGGCAGCCCGCGCCAAGCTGTGGAATCTGTGCAGGCCCCCCTTCAAGCGCACACATAATTTGGTCAGTCCAGGAGGCAGCCTTCCCATGTGTGCTTGGGATTCGGCAAGTTGGGGTTGATTGGGCTGGTCGCCAACCCTTTGAATGCGCAAAGGACCCGCTTGCTAAAGCGGTTGGTTTTCTGGCTGTTCCCCGTCTTTAGAAGAAGGGATCGCGCCCAGGGCCTTCACCATGCGCTTGTCAGCGGCGATCCATGACAGGGTGATCCACAGGCCGAGTTCTTATTCTAAGGGGAGAGGTACACAGAGGTTTTGCAGAAGTCTTGTGAAGCCTCACTCCCCGTTTGTGTCACCAAGCCCTACCTGGCCTATCCGCGTGAACCGCAAGCACGAGCAAAGCACAAGCGCCCAAACACACGCACACACAGACAGGCACACACAGAGACAAAAACAACGCACACAAGCACACAAACACGAGGCCCAACCACACGTGCGCGCGCGCCTCCACGCGCTCGCTCACGCACTCATTCATTTCCACGCGCACGCGCACGCGCACGCACAAATGCACAAGTTCACAATTGCACACAAACACACAAACACGCAAACAAGCAAACACACAAACACACAAATACACACGCAAACACACGAGCACCGAGACACAGCCAAACATAGACTAGACACAAAGACAACGCACACAAAAAAGTCAATCCACACAAACACACAAACACACAATACACAAACACACACAATACACAAACACACACGCACACAAACAAGC